CAAGCAGCACGGACAATAACAAAACCAGACGCGCCAGACAAAAAAAATAACGTCTTGGCGCAGAGAAAAAAAACGCTTACAACCGTTTAAAAAAAAAGGGAAGGCGCGAAACGACAGCACACACACACACACACGAACGCTATTATGCCCCCACCGCCCCCGAAACCCCAAACCCCACCCCCCCCCCAAAACCCCCCTCCCCAAACCCCCAAACCCCCACCCAGAAGAGCACCGCAAAAAATCCCGTATTTTTTGCGCAATGAAAAAGGAAAAAAACAGCAAAAAACAGAGGAAAAAGTAGGAAAAACATAATACGGTGCGCGGTAACAAAGGGTCCGAGGGAACAACTTGGATAACTAGGGTATATGGTAGGTATATCGAAGTACCCTCTGGTAAACTAACATAACTATGGAAAATCACCATATTCAATGGGAAAATCCACTATAAATTGCCATTTTCAATAGCTACGTTAAATTACCAGAGGGTAGTTATCATGGTTTTTATACATCAACAAACATACCGAGGGGGGGGGGGCAGCACTAGCACCTTGCTGGCGTTTGTTCAAGAGCAACCGATTTTGGTGTTGAAAAAAAGGCACCTTTCTTTGAAAAACGAAAGCTTAACCGCCCAGCAACCGAACCCAGTTTGTGTTCCGGCGTTGGTCCTTATCTGTTTATTTTCATATATATTCATATATATATATATAGATACATATATATATATATATATATTAATTATTATTATCATTAATTATTATTATTTTTGTTATTATTTTTTTATTATATATATATATATATACATACTATTATATATACCTAGAGCCGGTTTGTTCCCTGTTTTGGGGTATGGACATGTATTACGGCTCTGTGTTCATGGCCTACCCAAAATACGCCCCTTTGTTAAAAAAACGGGTTTTTGATGTTTTGGGTTTTTTTAATGATTTTTAATCTTCTGACCATATTATCACCCAGTGCCAAAGAAAACATCAGCGCACACACACAAATGCCTTCCCAAAACGGCTGCACATCTCCCAGAGTAAATAAAACCCTTCTAAAACCAACGCAGTACTTCACCTGTCTCTTCTCTCTTCTATTTTTTCCTCCATGCGCACGTCATCGCATATCTAATCATAGCAATCCCGGCCCCTTTGATCACCATCGGACCTTTGCAGCGCCAACTGAGCCAAAATGAGACACCTGTGAATGACATTTCGGTGAAGTTGTCGGATGTTCACACGACGGGAGGCCCTGCTGGGCCTCCCAATGAAATCTTCTTGTAATTGTACTGAACATCCTAGGGGATTTTGGCACCAGTCCACCAAATCTGACTGCTGCCGCAACTGCAAAGCCACATGGCTCAGGTAATGCAACTTCGGCATTAAGCTATACCGATTCTTGCCAACAGCCAAAGTCTCATGTGCCAAACGCCCATAGACATACAAGAAGAAAAACAATTGCCTGGAGAGGGACTTTGCGCAATTCTTGTTCACCCAGTACCCACACCCGTACATCGTTGACAGTGCACGATTCATAGCCGAAGTGCCATCTGCCTCACACACAAGCGCGGGCCCATCGATATTTGAGAACAAAGCATCAACCAAAAACAGTTTTTTCAACCAGACTGAACAACCCCAAAGTGCATTGCAATTTTACAAACTTGACAAATTTGAAAGGACATCTTGTAAATTATGACATAAAGTCGAAAATACAAACAATAAGTAAGAGGTCATGGGACTATCAGCAAAAGCTGCTCATCATCACTCTTGCCCTTGATGAATTTGGTGCAGTAGTGTTCGAGAAACAGCATCATAGTTGTACTGCAAGAACCCTTGTTCCATTTGCCAACTGGTGCAACTGATCCCTGGGGAAAAAGCAAAGTGTCACGGCTAATCTCAGTAATCCACATCGCGAGGCGATTTGTCCGACAGAAGGTGACGTACTCATCAGTCATTGATTTGAATTTGTTTTCCATGGAACTTCTTGGCAATAAATCCGATTCAGCAATCATCACAAGAGAATTTGCAACAAAATGTTTGCAAATGCCCAAATGAAAAATATGCCACAAATCCAGGCAGAAAAAACCACTGGCTTCTTCCCGGTTGATGGGAAGGCCAGATATCATGTCAGGTTCTGTCCGCCAAGGCAAAACCGTATGCATCGTTTGCTCCCAACATGGGCGAGGTCTGAGGTCCTCATATGGAAAATGTTCAGCACCTGTTCTGATATTCTCTTCTTGCCCCCCCAGACACAAATGACAAATTCCTTCGCAAGGGTTCTGCGTTGATGGCCTCTTTGGGACATGTAAGAAACTGCGGGTAAAGCCTCCAACTTTCCCAAGTGCTGGTAGGTCACCCTTTGTTCCGATATGGACAAGTCTCAGTCGGGTACCATCACATAAAATCCCTTCACATGCAAGCATCGCAGCATCAGTTGCAAACAAATTCAAAAGTTGAGAAATCGCTTCAGGGTGCATGTTGGAAACTTGTTTCGTGATAGTACCAAGCAAAAACTGTGTAGAGAATGTTTGTCCAAGAAAATTGAGACCCATCTCATTCTCCGAAATCGGTTTTGTGTGCTTCTTCTCTGTCACAAAGCGACGAGTTCCTCTTCCCAAAGCCCCATGACACGAAAGAATCCAAATAGGCTCATGCTTTTGAGAGCGTCCCTCATCTGTATGGCTGTAATATGGCACAGTGTGTGCCAGGTCTATTCCTTCCAGTCCAAAAATCTCATGGTGTGGAAACAAAGCCCTGAACCTCCTCCAGTACTCTGTCAAAACTGCTGGCATTTGTTCCAGAGAGCAACCTACAAGTTGTCTAGCGAAACGGCCAGTATTCCACAGGAACAGCACCCAGTCCGACAATTTCAGGTATGGAAATGCCTTTGTCCCAGCTATCTCTGCATTGTAAACTTGAATTGGCACACTCAGCCCATAGCGTTGGAAAAACTTGTGAACCGCAACCTCTGCATCAGCCAGCCTGATAGCTGAGAATTCACGAACCTTTGGACACACACGAGGGTTGTGAGCAACTTCAGCCTGTGCCAGCTCGACGACGTGCGAGCATGCGGCCTTGGCGGTCAGAGAGCACTTATAATTAGGATATTAGGGCGAATAGTGAAGAGGGGGATAGTGAAGAATAGTGATATATATATATAGAAAGAATATATCCATAAAACATTGTAAGGAGGTCAGGTTCCACACATTTCCGCACCATATTGTAACGTATGGTTGCGCTGGGTTGCACAATCAGACATACAACTGGAATGTACCCATGCACACACTCACACATACAAGCAGAACAACTTCTGCGTGCACCCTATTGAACCCCGTCACTAGCTTTCTTTTCCTTGCGCGCTCCCCGCAAAGAAATCTCATCCATCTCACCCTACTCTTCGCAGCTGGTCCGCACGACCACCAGTGATGTAAACAAAGTACGGCGGAGATGGAGGGTTTGATCTGTTTAAACAACCCTCTCCCCCGGTTCCTCCTTTGTTTTGGCACCCGATTTCTCGATGGAACTGTAGAATCAAAGAGGCCTCCAACATATGAACCAAATCAACACTCCTAGAAACCCAAATCAACCACATTGATGTAAAAGCCTTCTCCCTGTAGTCAGCAAATCGGGTGACTGGGTTCGATGTAACCCCAATTTTGAAAATGCAGAGCTTGATGCCCAGCTTTTCACGAAAAGATACAACCCGCTGTGTAGCAAGGGCCAAGATTTTGCCACATGTCATTGATGAGCTAGCAGTGGCCCGAGTGCATAGGTTAGAAATTCCTAGGCCTTTCACTTGGTCCCAATCGAAGGATCCTGCATCAAAGGTGGCACCAAGATGTAGCAAAGTTGGCCCCCGGTCACTCTTGACCTTGGTTTGCAACTATACCCCAAAATCAGTTCCACCATCTTGAAGCTTTTACGAACATGCACATATTAACACATTATTATATAATAGTATTTTGTTCAAATATGTGTGTTATATCTATACCACATGCATGTAAGTATGGCTTGAACGTGAAACACATATAGATTAATGCTGCTTTGGCACTGGCTGGCTTGACTCTATTTCACAGTCCCTGTCAAAGTACTCCATGAACTCATTTTCCGACTCCACCATTTGTTTGGATCGCCTAAGGTTAGCAATGCATGCATCATCCCATCATAAACTAATGCACCCCTGAAGTTGTTTGATATATATCCCGTTCTTCCCCATTTGCAGTGAAGCTGCTTCAGATGAGGGGGGCTTCCATACCCAGCGGTGCGCTTCTTGCCAGTGACAGGGCAGTCATAGGTCAAGAGATCCGTCAACAAACAATCCTCCAGTGCATTTTCTGGATCAGAAAGCATTAGGCTGCACAATTGTTTTCACAAATTGAAGTCGATTTTGGAATTTAAAACTATATCTTCCAAACATCGCGATGAATAGCTTTACCTATGTAGATATAGAAAAAATGGAATGATGAGAAACCTCTTTAGAACATGTTTGTAAATTGCACCTTTGGTCAAGATTTCAACCAGCTCTGAGACTGCAAACGCCAGCGGGAAGGGTCACCATTCTCCAGTGCACATAAAGCACCCTTCTTTGCTGGGTTCCCCGGCGCCATTGGCAATGAGCTTTGCAAAGTGGTGAAGCAATTCCAGGCCAGGGTCACCTGGCATGAGGATCATGAGGAACATGAGGAACATGGACTGGGAAAAAATGATAATCCGGGTCAATGTTTCATGATGTGCTTTATTTATTAGAATTCCATGGGCATAGTGGGAATGTTGGTGGAATTCAGCATGCCATCATGTGATGAAGTCTTACGAGAGGCAACATTTCTGCAACATTTTTTGGAGTCCATACCCCATCCAATCTGGCAGCGACGTGCAGCCAGTGCTTGTCAAGAATTTCAAATTTAGAAGCATTTCAGCTTCCCTCTTCACCCCCAAATCGGAGTGTATGTATGTCACACACCCAGTTCCAAGATTTTGCCAAATTGAAGGCATCTAAGGCGTGCATGTTCTCACGCACACCGCTAGCCTTTCAACAAGATCCCAGCTCAGACAGCCAACTCACTCCTCCCAGCTGTTGATGATTTTACGGAGTGCTCGGAGAACGCTCCTAGGGAGAGAGCAAATATAGACAAGGAAAAACAAGAATAGGTAGATATACATAGGTAGAAAAGGGCTCATAAACAGGATTGGTAATCTATCAAATAACCGGGAATGATGCGATTGAATGCAACCAAAGTTCCTGGCTCCGGACTCGCTGGTGGTCACCTTGCTGCACCTCAGAGCTGTGGGGTTCTCAACCAGCATGGCCAGGATTGTGGAACTTTGGAACAACACTTCATGGTCAAGTGCAATGTAAGGCGCGCAAGGGTGGTCTTCAGAATTTGGGCCTCAATCTTCTCACGTAGCCTCGGCCCCAAATAGTGAGGTTTGAAGCCCATGAATATACAACATAAACACATATAAACACCAAACAATGTGGCTACCACCTTTTCCCAACCAAAGAATGAAATTGTAACCAGAGAACTCCGTCTCCCCAGCACTTCCAGGCATAGCTTTCTTGTGCTTGGCCATGGAGGCTTTGACCTGCTCGCATGCCTCGAACTCAGCTTCCAAGACTTTGACGGCGTTCTCCAGATTCTGGACTGACCTAAAGATTAGTTGGTTGAACTAGTGGGGAATGGCAACAATATTTCATCACCTATCACAGGAATACTGAAATGTCTTTTGTTTAAGAATTGCGTTGCTGAACACTGCACGCCCAGCGATGGACATTGACCAGCTAAGTAATGGGCTTGGTTGCCCTTTTGTGATCACCAGTGTCCGGGGTCTTGCCTGACTCCTCCAAGGCCTGCTCCAAGTCTGCGATGATCTCGGAGAGCTTGGTGCACTTTACCAGGAGACTGTCCGCGAACTTCTTGAAGCGCTCCCACTCCTGAGTGTTGAGAAAGGGTAGCTGAGGGTGCTAGGCTTACTTGTTTTCTTGAGTGTTTAAAATGCCTAATCATGAAATCCACATATTTGTTTGTTGGTGAATGGTGAATTCCATATAGCCTATCAATGCTGAAATTTGCCTTGAAGTATTTCATGCATGCAGAAACTGTCCTCCTCAGCACTGTTGGAAACCTTCGCATCCTTTTCCTTGCCCTCAGCATCTGTTTCCGAGTCTGAAGTCTCGGGTAGCTCTGGAACTCCTGCCCCCTGGCGCCTCCCAAGCCGGTTCAAGCTGACACCACCATCGCGCACCTGCAGGACAGCAAGGGCAGAGATGATCTATGTGGTTTGGCAGGCAGCTTGTTGGTGAGACATGGGATTAGGGTCCTAGTAAATATAAGGGCCTCCGTTTCCTCAGTACGTTCGATTTCTTCGTCTTCACTTACATTCTCATCCTCCTCTTCGATCTCAACATAGAATTTGTCAATCTTCTTGTTGTAGCGGTCTTTCCTAGTTTTTTTCATCATGGCGGCATAAAGAAAAATAATGCTGGCTCAATGCTCAGAAAAGCTATGGAATATTATGGAAGACACATCAGGGTTTTACAAACATGTTCGTTCAGTTGAGTACGGAATGACATGTTTTCAGAGAATTGGCAAAGGGATGTTGACAAGTCTCTTGACCAGCTTCTCATTGCCCTTGCGTCGGCAGTAGGCCACCACCGACTTGATGTACTGCCTCGGGTCGATTTTTTTCAAGATCTACGGGGGGCCAATACCCCACCACGTTAAAAGAACCTTTCAAGACTTTGTTGTTGGATAAAAAATTACATGTTCACGACTAAATACTTGCTCCATTTGAGCTTGGTCGACATTGACTCTTCGGTGTGCCAACCCCTGCGCTTCTTTGACAACTTCGAAGACTTCTGAATGATCCGGGTCATATGGGTAACAAACCGGTCCTGCAGAGACAAGCTAGAATTGGAGGTATGAGGGTCCAAGGGGCCCCAAAACTAAACACCTCAAGATTTCAGTTCAGTCAATGGTGAGAATTTTGGGGTAATGAATCACATCTATTATGATTATTTCAACATGATAGAATAATTTGAAGTCCTTGTCCCATCCCACTTCATCCAGCTTGTCAACCATGGAGTCACGCTCATCACGGTTTGCTTTCAACCATTTCTCATGCAGCGCCAGTGGGACGTTTATTTTCCCACTGGGCTTGCGCTCGCACAACCTGCGAAGGCGAGCTTGCTTGGCAGCATCCGTTTCTGGAAGCTCTGGAGCTGGAGGACCGGCATTGGGCTCAGGCATTGGGGGGCTGGCTTTGCTCTTGGCAGCTGTTGCTTTCACAGCCGCTGCCTTGGCAGCCCGAGACTTACAAAACGGGTCACCACTGCTAGAACCACCATCCCTACCCGCTTGGACACGGAGAGCTTCCAGCTCCTTCATCATTTGCTTGCTAGCCTCATCCCGGGGATGTGTTGATCGATTCACTTCCCTATTGAATGCCCCCAGACACACGTGGTTTGATATTGAATCCAGTCACTTTTGGGGCCCATATTGGGGTGTACTATATATAATATGGATAACACTCACTATTTTATGTGAGGAGGAAAAAGTGAGGAAGGATTACCGTAAATGATGTCTATGTATACACTGCTTTGCAGGCAACATCAGGCAACAACATGAAAAATCCAAACGTGTGTGTTCATCGGTTTCTGGAAACTTTTGATATTAAGCTGGAAGGCACCAGTGGCCTTCCCATGAGAATTCAAGAAGGTTGACAGTATAGAAAACAATTTGACACTGAAGTTGTTCGCAAGTCATGATAAGAATCCAAACATGTTGGTAAATAAAAAATACACGATTCACTTTGAATCTAGAAACGTCCAATTAAACTTGCATTCAGGTGTTGGCCTCCCAACCCCCTGCCTGTCGCAGCTCGTTGATGGTTTGATCTTTGTCAGGATCATCTGGCCTACTCTTCTGGCGCTTCAAGTGGGCAGGGTTCCCAGATCCCGGAGGGCTGCATGGTGCTTGGGATGCTTTGCCTGATCCCCTTGCTGGAGTGGCCACTGGTCTAGCTGTCACTGGTTTGGCCAAAGCACGCTTGGGCTTGGATTGTGGGGCCTCATTAGACCTGATCTCCTCCTCTGTAGCCTAGGACCATCAAATATTCAACATAAATAGTATTGCGACACAATGATTTTGAATCAAATGGCATGGATAGGAAACAGTGAACATGATGGATTATCCCAATGGTTTTGCAGCTGAGATTCTGGTTGGGTCTCCTCCTTAGCATTCATTGTCCCCACATATGTCTGTGATTTGGAGGAATTGTTCAGATATTAATGCTAGAAAAAGGAATTACACCAAACATAATTGAAGCACTGCAGACAAACAGCCGAGTAGCTTCGGGACTTGCTGAATTCTTCAACCGTTCCAATTCAGCTTCATACTCCTGGAGTTGTATTGAGGTACCAAACATACCCCAAATAAAGCAAACCAATCCTAAAACTATCTAAAGATCACAAACAGTATCTGTGGCACACCCAATGACAAACCATACGGGTCACCAACCACTTGAAATCATTTTGAAATCATTCCGGAAAAGGAATATCCAATAAGAGACCCCAACTGGGGATAGTCTGTCATTGCGTTTGCCTTATCATAGTTGCATTCTAACACAAATGAAATCTCCTGAATTTTTCGCTCCATCGAGGAAGGGGAATCTCGCTCCATCTTTGCACCAATGAGCTTGTGATGCCCTTCAACCATCTCCGAGCAACTATGGGATTTACTAGGCACCCCCCGCCTCATCCCAGCTTCCCAACTACCAACTAACAAGCTTGCTGCACAGGTCACACTGGCATCTGAGCCAAGGACTTGCCGATGGAGGGTTTGAAGAATGGCAGGGAATGGTCACCGCTGTAATTTGATAACTGCTGTTGAACGGCATCCCATTTGAGTTTTGGACGCTATAGTTCATTAGAACTTACCGACGATTCATGGCTAATCTCATTGGTGCGGTATGAAACGTTAAGTTTGGGGTGAAAATCTATGAAAATCTATGAAAATCCTATTTTCAGACATCTTCAATTTTGGCTAAATTACGGGAATATTACGTAAAATATTACGCATTTTTACGGACTTTTTACGCAAAAATACGCACCTTTTACGGGTCCCAGATTGATACGTATTTTTTACGTAATTTTTACGTACTTTTTACGTAAAGTACGTTTTTTTTGAAATTAGATGAAATTGATGGAGGAGCTTCCAAATTCTCAGCTTGGGGGTACCTGGGCCTTTGTGAAACAGCTGGAAACCAGTCTCCCGAAATATGGGCAGCTTTGGCAAGACCTTTTTTCTCACCCGGCACATGTGTGCCATAGTATGCGGTGGGCATCCAGTGGATATTTCCACAAGAATTCAGAGAATTAATTGAACAAAATGGGTTCAGCCTTCAACTTCCATCACCCCTGCTATAGGTCTAGGTTTTTGCTACAAACAAAATTTATTCCAGGAGTTCACCTTTACAGTAGAATGGATCAAGTTTGGGGCGCTTGGAGGTTGGTTAAATGTGAGTTGGGAAGAGGGGCCGCCACTCACCAAGTTGTAGGCTCTTTGAACCTCTTAAATAGCAGAACAGGTCATCAAGTCCTGCATCACTCCATGTGTCATCATCCCAATCACATATATTTAAAATCCTTTCCGTAGAAGTACTTGGTGCATCTTCACAAAGCAGTTCTGGGGGGAGTGCTTCACGGTTGGAAATAAATCTACCGTAGTACTTTGCCAATCGCAATGCGAAGCGAGGAGGATATGTCCTTAGATGGAACGGTGTCCCGTGGTCCCTGAATCAAAACATCATGCAGTGACCCCAAAACTAGTTCCCCAATCTCTACAAATGGTGAAAGATAATTAGTCACTGTACTTTTAGGGTTACAACCAAAAATCCGTTTTGGAGGTCTATTATGTCTATGGGCCCGGGAAACCACAATCCAGTTGAGAGGCTGTCCCCATTCCCACTAATTATATAATATTATAGATAAGAATCTGTGTGTTTTTCAAGAACTTTGTGCCAACGAAGGCCCGCTTCCCTCGTCCATTGGTGTACTTCCGGGTGCTTTGTTGGGCATGTTTAGCTAATTTGTCGCGGATCACCTTGGCCAGGACCCCCAAATCAAGAAGCTTCACTGACCTCGAATTGCTCCAGGCCACATGCCTCTTGGGAGTCAAACTTCCGAACATAGCCATCCACCACCGAGCTTCGTAAACCTCAGGCGGAAGGCAGCAGGCACTTACTTATTATAGATCTTACAGTCTAGTACTTTATGTTGCTTTGATGGGTGGATCTTATATAGTCAAGGGTGTCCCAAATCCTGAATTAAACCTTCAACCATCACTTCTTCTTCATTAGTGTCAACCTTTCCCATCTAAAAGTAGAAAGGTGAGATTTGTCTAGCATAACCCTGTAGAATCAAGCTAGAAGCTCTGGGGAGAAGGTGCCATAGGTGTCTAACCCGTGGATGAGACAACAGTCGTGTAGAGCTTGGTTGCTCCAATATCCAAGCCCCGTTCATGGCAGAGACTACCATGATCAAAAGCACGGTCCTTGGTGCAGGAGTGGTCATAGTCATGTATATATATGTGCCATGTACTACTGGCATTGCATACTGTTGTCAAGGGCCCCCGTACTTGACAGGTTCATTGGTAAAATATACAGTAAATAATGCCAGCATACCCCATTATTGCATTCAACTTAAGAAATTGGTTCTTGTTACCCCAGCTGTTCAACCACTACAAAAGTGTGGGTATACTGATAAAACACACATAAAAAAATACGTACCCTTTGTAAAGATGGATGAAGGTTCACTGCTGCAAGCTTGTTCCCACACCAAACCATGTCGATGTTGACATCCCCTAATGGGTTCCATGGTGTTCTTTTATGCGTTCCTGCCGATACGGTCACGTAGCTCGAACATACCAACCCAAACAATGCTTCGAATTCTCCCATCTTCGCGTTGAGCAAAGATACCAGGGCCAACCTAGGAAGTTTGTGTTGGGTCGGGATGATGACAATTCCGTAGATAGAAAAATCCATAGACAAATGTTTAATTGTTTACCCATTCGAACCATATAGATACAGCAACATAAAAGTGTTTTAAATGATATAACTTGCTTGCAAGGAACGAGAACCCGCTTGGTGTCAACAAATCCATTGCATCTTGCTTCCCTTGTTTTGGGTTTCCCAATGATATGTCAAATTGGGCAGTGGGCACACCGCTCGCCCGCATCACAGTTGAGACCCATGCTTGTCCACAGAAAAATTCCAGGAACCCGTAGGCCTGGGCCAGCAGGGCAAAAGTAAAATTCCAAGTAATGTCGTGCACCCGATAACATTCCATTGGCCAACCATTCGGGGGGCCATTTTTACGTATATTTAAAATTTATAAATATAATCATCTCAATTTCATATAGGCTCATCATTTCCAAACAAAAAACCTCTATTGTGGATGGTTTATTCTTTGGTTTACCACATTAGTTTGTTTCTCTATAATAGGTATTTGTTTTAGGTGATTTTGAAACTATGCTACATGCAGGATACTGGGGATCCATGTGCCAACAGGGAAAGGGAGAATCAGTGGATTCTTTGACACCTGCCCCCAGGCTAGCAGCTTGCAGCAACCCATACCCCCTCCAGTTTGCTTGGGCCTCGGTAAATATCTCAACTTCCGGGTTGAGAGCGAGGAGCGCGATGCTTGCCAGTAGCAACTGCACAAGAATAGGGAGTGGCTTTTGTTGAAATTCGTTGGGGTGGAACTGGGTCAACTGTAGCTATATAGATGCATGCATGCGTGAAATGTCATATATAGATACTATATATAATAATATTAATTACAATAGATGGCACATAGGCCATATAGGGTTATAGGAATGTTTGCATGTGTGGACAGAGAATGGATTCGGGCCTGGGGAGCACCCATGGCATAGAGCCGGCCCATCACTAAGTCCAACTTGAAGCGGTTCGCTGGCTTTATCATTTTGCAAAAGGGTATCTGATTGGGATTCGGGCCAACTGGTCGGCAGGCATTGAAGACAGGTCACAGGCATGCATTCCGCTGGGAATACTGATAATTCCAACTTTGGACAGCCTTTCAATACCTTTCACTAATCATGATCAATTTAAAAATCATTGGGCTCCCAATGGCTTCCCATTGAATCCTATTATCACTCATATTGCATATATGGAAACACCATTCACTGCAGTGAATATAACATATGACATATATGGTAAAACATGCCAGTAGAGCGGTCATTGTGCAAAAACTGCTCAGGCAACCCCGCAGCTCTGGGCGGCCGAGCCATGCCTTTGATGCTCAGCACCTCGGCACCGGGTTCAGGCCAGTCGGTTTATGGGGTGAACCATGAATTAGATTAGATAAGTTGGGTTGGTTCATGTTGCATCCCAAGGGCTAGGTCCTTGACTTTAAAGTCTGTTCAAATCATCCTCAAAAGTAAATGGATGGACATAGTCTTACAAAAAAGAGTTCAATGGTGATCCAGTAATCCGTTTTTTCTCCAGCTGAAGTTCTCCATGTAACCCTGCTTGGATTGAGATAGGGCTCGCGGTGAGCTGAGATTGGTCAGAACTTCCCATTCCTTGATAAGATCAATAAATAGACATCATAAACATTTATGCAAATTGTTTGTTCATTTTATATGTTGGTAATTTTCTTTGTGCAATCATGTTCCAAAAAATGAAAGGGTTCCAAGCCACCAATCAAGTATGCGGCCTTATCTATGAATCTACCCAATCAGAAGGCCTTTGGCACTTCTGTCGAAAAGGGCAAGCTTTGATGAAAGCTCACCTCTGCCAATGTTGCTAGCTATTTGCCCCAAGCGACAGTGATCATCTGGATCACACACACAGGTTTCTTGCGTTGGCCATAGCTTGTTGTCACATGTGAAGCATTAGCAAAGAAAAATAGAACATCAAAGCTTTTGCTTTCTTGGGAAAATATCACTGTTGATGGGAAGCTTGTATTGATATCTTTCCGCCATGACCAGCTTGGGTATCCATCAGCAGCAAACCCTTCAGCCCAGGTTTGCAACATACCTTGTTGCCACCTGCGTTGCAAGATCATTGATGTTTTCGGTCGTGGCCTCAATGTCATCCTTCTTCCACTCACTGGTCGCGAACTGCCAGAACTTGTCCTGCAATTGGACAGAGTAGGATGGGAAGTGAACCCACGTGATTTTTAGGGTAGATAAATCTGGGGACAAGTATATAACCAAGCCTGTCAACATCACCTATAACTTTTACAATTTTCTGAATAGAGTATGGGGAATGTAGAATTAATTGTGTTCAAGCATTCTCAACATCCCATCATATACTGTACTTGGATCGGGAGGAGGCCAAGCTTTATTGATGATGTAATGATTTGATTTTTGGGGATGTTGAGGTAGATTTGATGGGACTAGATTTGTGGAGCTCTGTTTCTTTTCAAAATAAAACTCCACTGGGTAAAGGGTGGACTGAACAAAAAGAATGCGTGGCAGGCGTGGTAATATACCGCAACTTGTTCGGTCCTCTGGAAAAGGCATCATTAGCTAGTTACCATGTTTTTGGAAAAATGTGAGAACCCCTTCTGTGGTGCTGGTGTCTCTAGATTTTCCCCAAATATAACAAGTATACGCATATATTTGCTGTTTTCTGTTTGCCCATAATGCGATGTAATATATTTCCTATACAGCAGGCTATCATAGTTTCTGTGGGTGTCCTCGTGGGCACTGTAAGTTGTAAGCCGTGGCCGGATCAACTCCGTGAATGCTCGTTTCAAAGCATGCCACTTTGCCTTTCCAAACTCCGACTTTGGACAGTTTCTGCGTGCAAAAGAGGCAGGGCTTGAAGACCTTCGTCGTCTCCTCTTTGGGGGTGCCTCCTCTTCCTCTGGGGAACCTTCCTTTCTGGGATTCTTCTTCTTCTTCTCCTGCTTGTCATCACCAGGGTTTGCCTGTTGTGGCTTCGAAGTCTTGGCCTTTGCCTGGGCTGCTTTCCTCCTCGGGACCTCGACCTTGGCATCCTCCTTGGCTGAACCTTCTACCTCTTCCTTCTCTGACCGCTCCTCCTCTTCTGAATCTTCAATTGGATCACTCTCATAACCATGTGTCTTCCACAAGTCTGGTCTGCTGAGTGCTGTGCAACGGGGCTTCTTCTGCTTGGTCTTCTTGGTCTTCTTGGATGCTGGCGCCTTCTTCGGCTTTGCATCTCCCATGCCATCCCCAGAGTTTTCAACTCTTTTGCTAGCTGGTGTCTCAGTGTTCTGGGGCTGTTTGGTTCTCACCCTCTTCGTTGGTGCAGGCTTCTCACATGCTCCAGCCCCTTTGGGATCCGCCGCCCCCTTCTCCACCACCTCTAGGTCCTCTGCCGACTTGCTTTCCTCAGTTTCTCTTTTCTTTCCTCGGGTTCCTTTCATTTCATGGGATTCAGGTTCCTTTTCATTCTTCTTCTTCTTCGGGGTTTTCGGCTTCAAATCTTTATCTTTTTTTTTGCCACTCTCTCCACTGTTCTTGCCAGTGGGCATCTTCTCAGCTTGAGATCCACTCTGTGAAACTATTCTTCCTGGGGTTTCTTTTCCAGGGGCACCTTGACTGGCACCAGTTGGTTCTTTTTGAGTGGGAGTACGCTTTTGTTTTGGAAGCTTGGGGCACCAGCTGCCCTGCTCCTTCTTCTTGACCTCCTTTGTGTCTGTGTTCACACCATCTCCTTTCTCGTTGGGGTCATTGTCTTGGCCTGCCTTTGTCTTGGAATCGTCCTTTCCTTCTCCCTCATTCTCATCCTGACCGTTGACCTTACCTTCATCCTTCTCTGTATCCTCTTGATCAACTGCAGTCTGTTTTTTCTCCACTTTCTTGCCCTTTCCCCTTCCTTTACCTCGTCCCTTAGCTTTTGTGGGCGCCTTCTCCTCGTCCTCACCTTTCTTTCGTAGTCCAAGTTGTTGGCGCCGCAACACCTTAGGGAAATGCTGTTCTTGGGTTTACCGGTCTGCTTGAAACTTTGTGATGTTGAAATTTGATGAACGGAAACAACTATTTGAAAGATCAAACAGTCCCATGCCCAAAAATTAAATGCACCCCAGAGAAACTTGGGTTTAGTATTGGATCTTTTGTGGTGGGCCAAAATGGTGAGTATTTAATTTTTTGGGAACAGGCTACTACAACAATGTTCCACTACAAAACCAAAGAACTATTGGAACCGTGTTCTCATGGGGCTCGCTGTCGCCGAAGATGTGATACTTCTCTTCGGGGAAATCATAGGTTTTGGCCAAGTCGTCTAGCAAAGGGTGATCTTGGGTGTCCACATCATCCCCACCAAAGGGTAGAGATTCCAAAACCGGAACTGCAGTGCTGGATGATGAAAGGGATTCTTTCGCTTTCCTGGGCAAAACTGGCAAACCAAACTCGGCCACACTAAGGTACCCGCTAAAATCTAGTCACCCATTTGATGCAGGATGTTGCATGATTGAAGCTGAGGGAATCACAATCCAAAGGTCAAAATTTGCAAACCAAATCAAAGACTCGCTGATGTTACTTGTTTACGGAGAACAGCAAGTTTTTTCTGAAGTTCCTCAATTCTTTCCTCCTTTTTTTTTGGGCGACTGTCAAGATCACTGTCAAGATCACCCTTGGAACCTGGGTCATCTCCCATCGTCTCCACATGGTTTTCATTCAAGGCAAGGGATTCTTCATGGTATGAATTGTCCAATTCACCTTCACCTGCCTCCAGCATCCCTGCTGCTTCCTCCTCCCCCCTTTCCTTCTCATCTTCACTTCCTGAAAATTCCTGCTGCGAAACATGTTCGGGTTCCTCTTTGCACGGAGTCTCATTGATCTCAATCACCTCTGCTGCGGCAGGCTGGGTGGGTGCTTTTGGCGGGGTGCCAGGCTGTTCTTCCTCAGCGAAAGGTTGTGAGGCTTGGGGTTGGTCATTCTCCAGGGGGAGGCTATCCGCATTCTCATCCTCACTGTCAGGGTCTGATGGAATTTCTTCGCCGTCATCATCTGAACCATCATCATCATTGTTTTGCAACTCCTATGGGGCCAGTTGCCAAAACAAAAACCGGTGGAAAACATATCAGCACAACATATTCTATACTTGGGTGATATTGAAAAGGATGAAAATGGTCCCATTAGGAAAACACTATTTTGATCTGTTTTTGATAAACGCTTGTCCTCACGTTCTTCGGGGTCATAAACCAGAGCCATGAGCTTCCTGAATGGGAAAGACCTGCAAATCTGCCCCCTCTGAAGCTTCTGTTTGATCAGCACAAGACACTTCTTGACATCTTTGGCTGCCTGCTTTAGATCCCTCTTGGGGGGACACGGGATGTTCATGGTCATGTAGAGCATCTTGATCCTTAATTTGGGAAAAGCAGCTTTCAGGCAAAAATAAAAAATAAAGGGCACCCTCAAACCTTTTGGGAGCGAAACCACTGCAAACCCCAGGCCCATAGAACAAAATTGGAAATCTCAACCAGAAAATTACCAAGAAACTGGTGTTGAATCTTGGGAACAGTATGCATACCAACCGCGCCATTACTGTCTTGCAAACGCTGGCACAAAGGGCGAAGCACTGAATAGTTCTTAGCGGTGTGGTGGATATCTATCTTGAGTTTGTCTTCCCAAGCCTCCTTCCACAAGAGCACCCCATCTTTCCTAACACGATCCCGGATCTCCTCTGTGTTCTCCCATTCGCGGGAAAGCATTTGCAGGCTTGGCATGGTTGCCATGCCCACTGGGCTAGAAATAAAGGGCCACTCTGAGCGACCCTGGGACCAAAACACCTCAACAAATCTTGATCCAAAAAGCTCTAATTCAAACATGCTGAAAACTGCTAACCTCCTACTAACAAATGTCAAAAAAACCTGATAAGATGTCAATTGGTGAGGATCACTCGAAGTGAATATATTTTTTTATGTCCTTTCAAAACCATGATGGATGTACCTGAGCATCTCTTTTTGTAGATGTTTGAAAATAGTTGCGTTTTTTTTGAATGTAAGAGTGCGAACATAGACTGCTGGTTTCCCTTTTTGGTACTCTTATTCAATTGTGGGGCTGCCATCAACCACCATCCCCACCCAGCTAGCGGGCTGAGGTCAAGCACATCTTGGAAAGATCTCGAGTTCGACAATGGGGAAAATGGAAATGCGTTTGGATGCCGCAGCTGCGGCCGTTGCGGGTGTCCACCCACAATTTAATTTGGACCTTTAGTGGCCTCTATATTGGGAGATAATCACTGAAGAATTGATGTTTATTGATATGTGTGGCTATTCAAGTACCATATATGAAGTTAACGTATAAGTTGAAGGATATTGAAGGAATACCACCATTCAAAATACGGGTCTTTTCCAAAATACGGTATCTGGATCCCAAATACGGTATAACACCTGTAATTTAACATCAGGATACTATTTTTCAATACGGCCTTCAAAAAGGAAGCACAAAGAGGTTCTAGGTATATATATAATGTATACGTATAATAATTAATATACACGTGTTCATTGAATGTTAAGAATGTTACGGCTTTTGTTTCAAACAATCTGGATTGCTTCTAATTGGTGTTGAACGGTTTTGACATGTTTTTGAGCAACTGCTTCCTGGAGTTCCTTCTGGTTCCGAGCAAAGGGATCATCATTGCCATTCTCTTCCACTGCTACAGCCACCTTAGCCTGCGCTTTGGGCTCTTGTGACTTAGAGTTGCTTCCAGTTTTGGCCACGTCCAGCACAACCTTTCCTTTGCTTTTGCTCAGGAGGTAGTACTTCACACTCGTGACTATGAAATCGGTCATCCCGACATCTAAAATCTGGCTCCTGTATTGAGCCAATCAGCAGCGAATTCTTTGGTGATCATTCCTACGTGTCCTGTCTCAACCGCAGCTACTGCCGATCAAACTGCTTGATCACACTTTGGCAAGGTAGAATATCAATGAATATCATAGAAAGTCACAAAACCTCATTCGATCTCATGTGTATTTAGTTTAGAGCATATATTTTCATTCGCAGAATCTCACTGCAAGGTTAACGGTTCAAAACCCTGCGTCGCCAGTCGGCAACAATCTCATTGCCTGATCAGCAACCGCGCCGCCAAAGAAGTCTATCAACAGGCTCTTCACCTAATGCAACGCAGACGTGATCTGGAAATGTAGCCAGTTGATGCCAGTTGATGCCAGTTGGTTATGAAGGTTTCACAGTTTGGATCTCAAGATCTTCGGAGATTTAGAAGGATATTGTCCGTGATAGGGCATATGTGGCATATGTGGGAGAGGGCATTCCAATGGCCTCACCAGCCTCACCATGCCTCACCAAAATTACTTCAGCCCAAAACGGGATCAAAATACGATCTGTTCTGATGGAAAACAGCTAGCAGTGTGCAGCAGCTACTAGTCATCAGACCTTGTGCGTTGCTTCGGAGTCCTCACCATTGATTCAGTCCATATCTTGCTTCAAGTGTTCACTTCTATAGCAATCCTCCTCCCTGCTGGCACAGGTTCCTTATGGTTCCTTCTATAAAAGTGAGACTCTGTTTCCTGTAGACAGGTGCTGCACAAACGCCAAAAAGACAAAGTTGTTTTTGTAATATGTTTCGTATTTCCATGCAAACATTGAGTGTGAATAGACTGAAGGAAAAAAGAGGTATCCCAATGCCACCGTGTTCATTCTATTAACATCTATTAACATCTATTAACTGTTTTATTAACTTCTACAATTTTGGAGTTGCTGCTTGGGAGCTGAGTTGATGTCTCTGAGCCACCGAGCCCGCTTCATGCGCTCATCTGTGTCAAACGAAGGTCCGTGGAAAATCATGAGCCTCAGTTGACTCAATTCTGAATAGTGCAGAAGTTTCAAAATGTTCCAAAGCTTGATTCAGCTTGTTATGCAAATTTGGCATATGCATTTGATATGCAAATTCGTTCGAAAAAATCGTTCGAACATTGCTTGAGCATCTTGAGCAGTGATCCAAAAGTCCTGGCCTGGCATATCCTGGCTGTTTGAATCACTAGCGATATTGAGCGGTTGCTTGATTGACTTATTGGATTCTTATTGGATCTTATTGGCAGGTCTCCGAAGAACAACACAGACTGGATCAGACTGGAGAGATTTTACTTTGAACCAGTCCCGAGTGGCTGTCTTAGTCTTTCAATGGTTATTCAAGAGTCAATTTCTGTCAACTCCTCAACTCTAGTAAAAAGAATCTTCTAGAAGCGGCCAAGTCCTTTTGCTTGTCTTCTTGACTGCAACAATTTTGACTCCTTGGCACCTACAGTGAACACTGATCAAATTATGTCAAATCCACAGTGAATGCAACACCGGATGCCGGCCAGGCAAGTGCATTTGAAAAAATTGAGTTGAAGCTGATCTCACTTCCAAAACCTGTCTGCTGGTCATTTGGTTGTGAAGAAATTCAGCTTGGGCCTGGGGCTGATTCCCTCATCCAAGCATATCCTGTCAATATCCTGTCAATTAAGCTTCCAAAATGTTCTAAAATGTTCTAATAAAATGTTCTAAAGTCCAAATTGCCCATTTGCCCGCCCTGAATCGTGTCCAATCGATGTGCTTCCAGGAGCCCCTGCGGTTTGGACCCTGCCAGCGTCTCTTTGGAGCTGCCACGAAATTTCCTTGCCATGGCATGGGGCGCATCGCAAAGGTCCAGAGGTGTAACATGCGTAGCACGGTCTGGCAAGATGTAGTACTGTAATAGTAATATGATGTAATATGATGTAATATGATGTAATATCACAACGATATGATATTCATTGATCTTTAATATTCTATAAATATGGTGGTGTGACCCACATCTGTGGTTCGTCTTCGTCTCTTTTTCCAGGTCTTGCCAAATCCGTGAGGAGATCTTGCTGGGGTCTCACAGACGTACTGTTGAGAAGCTGACGCTGTTTGGTTTTTATCTGATGACATCGGATGACATCTGATGGCTCAACTCATTTTTCTTACTTATTATTCTGTGCTCTCGGGGCCATCACTGCATGGACTTGTAGTCTTCAATGTTGAACTCCTGTCAAGGCAGTGTCTGAGGTCGTGCAAAGGGCATCTTTGCCTGATACTGCGTCCTTTCTCTTCCCATATGGTTCAAGACAGCCAAGTATTCTTGTCTTAGTGTGTCTCATTATGCTCTTCAAAAGGAGATTCGGCAAATCAGTCAATAGAAGAAACCAAATTGGAAACGGCACCACACACACAGAAACATACATATATAGATATATGTAACATATGTCCAATTCACAATAATACAATGATTGAATATGACTGAATGCTAATTAATTTTTGAAGCAGCGGCAGGGACTGCGATTCGAAAACAAGTTGTATCAAAATTTCAGAGTGCGTATGTTGTGACCCAGATTGACCTGTGCCCACATGCCCAGATCTCTCCTGCATGTCCAACAAGGCTCCATCAAATAGACGTCCCAGGATTAATCTTGATGGCCTCCAATACAGGTGACAGTTCAGCTGATGTATATTGCCTTCAAAACGAACTCGACCAAGGCTTTTGAAAGCAGTCTGTATCCTTCAAGTGCTTTCCTAAAACATGAAAAATCTGACTATATTAACGTCCCATGTCGATCCATTTCGGAGGATGTCTATGCCCTCTATCGCTTTATGACATCTTTTTTAAAATATGACATCTAAAAATCAAAATTAATTGAAATAAACATAATTAATGTATATTAATGTTACTTATCAAGATCAGTTGATGCTACTCATTGCTCTGATTAAATGCTGATGGCCTCTTTTTGGACGTGGAGCCAAAGGCGAACAATGCGTGATCAAACTTCTTGCAAAGGACCTCCACCTTGGAGCAGTCCTCTGGTCATCTCTGTCGACGCTGGGAAGTGTTTATCTTAAGCTTAAAAAAATAATTTGAAATTATTTATAATTATTTAAATATTCAAAAAAAGTAATCGTCCTGTAAAATGAAAACTGAGCATTATCAAGAGGCAAATGATGTGATCGAGTGAGGCAAAAAGAAAAAATATTGTCCTCGAAGGGATGTTCCTCGTGCTTTCGCATGTAGAGCCTCTCTTCAACATGATCTGCAGAGTGTTACGGCTAAGAACTGAAATTCAAAGCCATCAAAGTCCTTTGCCTTTCAAAGGCATCAAAAGCAAGGGCAGCCCGAAAGTCCAAATGCCACTAATGGGTCAACGTCAACAGTGCGGTACGTTCCATTCGTCCATGGTCCAAATGGATGCAATTCATGGCAATTCAGGATGATTTTGTAACACTGTGTAACGACATGCAGGCATGACATCGCCAGAGGAGTTCGAATCAAATGGAGCTCCCGCAGCAGGGTCGTCATGTCATTGGAAGTCCTGCCGTCGCCAGTTGGAATTTGACATCCACATCTATCGTTCCAAGAATAGACCCCTCGTGTCTTAGAGCAAAGGGCGGTCATAGCATGAAATCTCCACAACTTGGTATGGCACAGAGACCCAAAATAATGATATAATGTTGTAATGTTGTAATGTACATACTTGGATATATATATATATATATTATGTATATGTAATTATATACACATACAACATCATACAACTACATATACACTCTCCTTCTCGGTGTTCAGGTATCGGTGTTCAGGTATTCTTCCTTTTCTTGGATCCATTTGCAGGTTGCTATGTTTATATATGTCTATACGTATATATATATTACAATATAATATATGATTACATATGCCTATAATATAATATCATACAATATAACATAATATAGTATAATATATTATAATACAATATATTATAATATATGATTATTATATATGATATGTATATATAACTGTACAGTAGAATGGTTGATTCTTAAAACTGAAGGTATCTCATGCAACGTGAGGCATGCCTTTGATTGCTATCCCACGTGTTCCTATGCTTTCCTCTGTGGGACGTTATTTTTGGGCGAGGAATCCTAGGACTGCTAGGACTCAAATGCTGTGTCCCAGCTGACGGATGCCTGGCACCTCGGATGATCAACGCCGTTTTGGCATCTTCTGTCACCTTCGGACCAGAAGCACAGTTTGGGGAGTTTGGGGTGACGTGAGGGTTACATGCCGCATTGTGAGATGACTTTACACTATTTTACAATGACCTGCCAAGTCAGAGGGTGAAATGAAGAAATTTTGACAACTTTGATTTTGAGATATTTTGGACAAATTTGACGTATCAAGCCACAGAATCTTTGGACACTTTCGGCATCACACGGCTCACGTGGCTCACGCAACCCACACGGCAACGCAAAAACTCACAAGAAGCACAACAAGAAGCACAACAAGCAGCCCCGAAATATCCCGAAATGCCCCGAACCTTCGGCTCCCGATCTTTGAGGATCTTCTTCCCTCGACCTGAAGACTAACTAGGGCTAGTAACTAGGGGATGACTTGGAAAGCTTTTGCGCATAAGGACGTCCATCTGCCCATGTCGCCGGCTCAAAAAAAAAAACGCAATAATCAAAGGAAATTCAGAAGCAATGAGAAGCAATCTTCTGAGATACTGATATTAATTTATATTGACATTTACAGTATAACAGAAATATTGCCCTTGCGTTACATATTACTGCCACATACTGCCACATCTTACATATCTGACACTATTCACATATCACATCTGACATCATTCACTTGAATACATATCACATCGTACACTACATAACTTGAATTGCGCGTCACTCTAATTGCACCTCACTTCAACTACACGTCACTTTCACTTCCATGGCATTATATTACACTGCATTGCATTGCATTACATTCCACTACACTATATACATTACGCATCACCTATCACATATATTACATATCTTGCGCTACATACTGCAGCACATATCTCAGGTTTCCATACTATATGACTATATCGCTTATCACATCATGTAACCAGTACATAAAAATATGTAGAATATTAGTAGCGTGGCTGCATGAATGTTGCACGTGTTTGCTGCTGGAGGGAATGCCGGAGAAGCGCTGTGTTTTTGTTTTGGCAAAAAGATGCAAAAAGTAATTGCTGCCGGCGATGAAGGGAAGCTGCTTTGTGCGACGTTTTTGTAGCGCTCTCGGAGTAGCCACCAGTGTCAGTGCTGCAAGATGTGACATTAGATGTGTGGCTGCGCGCAGTAGGAAGTATTTTCTCTGTTTTGTACTGCGAATTACTTGGTTTCTAGTGCGAAATAGTACCAGGAAATACCGGGAAGTGTTTTTTCTTTCTCTAGTGCGAAGTAATGCCAAGTACAGTACCTTTTGTCTGCTTTGTTGTACGAAGAAGTATCGCGAAGCACTTTTTGTTTGTTTAAAGTACGACGTGCTGCGAAGTCCCTTTTGTTTGCTTTGTCGTACAAAGCAGTATTGGGCTGTAGTACGAAGTAGTATTACCAAGTACTAGTAGTTGTTTTTTTTTTGTAGTAGGACATAGTATTGAGATGTATTGACCAATAGTTGTTTTGTGCTGGCGTAGGAAGTAGTACTGGGACTGGGAAGTCTTTTTGTTTGTTCTGCAGTACGAAGTATGCTGCTGCTTGCTGCCGCTGTGCGCGCAATTCTCTAGGGAGGTGCTTGAAGTGTGGTTGGAATGATGCGTGAGATGATTGAAGGGTGGATGAACTACAGTAAAGTGTGAGATGATTGAAAGGTGGCTAAATTCAAGTGTGAGACGATTGAAGTATCATTGAACTGAAGTCTGGGGTGATTGAGGTGTGGTTGCTTTGAAGCGTAAGATGGTTGAAGTGGGGTTGAATTAAAGTGTGAGATGAGAAGAGATGATTGAAGTGGGGTTCAATTGAAGTGTGAGATAAGAAGAGATGATTGAAGTGGGGTTAAATTTAAGTGTGAGATGGTAGAAGTGTGCTTGAACTAAGGTGTGAGATGATAAGAGCGTGAGATGATTGAGGGTGGTTAAACTGAAATTGAAGTGTGAGATTATCGAAGTATGGTTGAATTGAAGTGTGAGACAACGAGATGATTGACTGAAGGGTGGTTCAGTTGAAGTGCGAGCTGAATGGTTGAAGTGTGGTTGAATCGAAGTGTGAGACGGCAAGAGATAATTGAAGAGTGGTTGAATTGAAGTGCGATCTGGTAGAAGTGTGGTGGAATTGAAGTGCGAGATGATAAGAGTGTGGCGCACGGGATTCGGCTGGACAAAGCAACTTCCGGACTGCCTCATGCGGGTACTATAGTATGATGCCACAATATGCGGCTTGTATCACTTCCTTTCCGTGTATTTCCGTGTATTTCCGTGTCATGCTCTGTCTTGGCCATTTGAACTCACAATGAAGCCCAAAATGAACTCAAAATGGAGCCCAAAATAAAATACACCATGTGTCAGCTGTGCTTTGGTTCCGAGCGGGTCTTTGGCTTCCGCTTGGATAGGACCTCTGTGAGCCTGGGATAGGCAGTGCGACATGAAACTCATGACACTCTGCCAGGGGCAGAAGACGCATTTAGCATCTTCTCTCTTCTTGTGATAAGCCACTCTTGCGCTATGATCCAGTCTTGATCCTGAAACCAATGAAGAACGTTCTTTCTGGATGCAACTCATCTCTAGTTGAGAGGATTTCTCAAGGCACCCGCACGCATCCGCGCCCATCGGCACAGTTGGCCACTTGGTAAAGGTTCGAGCACAAAATGCTTGCAAAAACAAACCGCAAGACGTAGCTGAAGGAGTGCAAGAAACTAAATACTATACTCCTGTGAAGATTGACGTGTCCTCCGACCCTCATTGGACCTCTCTAGACATTGCGCATTCCAAATCTGTATAGCTGACATGTCAGTTCATTCTGGGTATACACGTGATGGTACATGTCTTGAAATCTCTGAAATGTTTGCCCTCCTTCGCCTCCTTCTCCCATATACATATATATAATTATATATAATTATATATATACACAGTATATATATATATATCATTATCGGATATCTTGTCCAATTTGTCCCGTAGTCTTTTTTTGGTCGCTACGAGAACTTTGCAGCTGCTCTCTCACGAAGAAGACCTCAGGCTAGGTAGGCTAGTCATCACCGGCATCCAAATGCTTTTGCCCCAGACTCGAAAACAAGACCTTCTCACTGGTGAATTTACAAAGTACAACATGCAAAAGATGGTATATAGGACACATTAAGAACGATCAATGAGGAGAAAATCGCATAAATCAACCACCAAAATTCAACATGTTCAGAGTCAGGACAACAATGAAGACGACAATATGTCTGGGTGAAGGGTGACGATGTTGGACAGAGGAAATCCAAGGTAGAGTCCCGGACTGAAAGAACAAAGGCAGTTTGAAAATTGAGCTTGAAAGATGTGCATAGTATGCAAATTGATATGTTTTATGTTGGTTGTTTGCAATTCAGGCGCGTCACATTTTGTTTATTTTCTGCGTGGTGGTTCAGTTGGCCAAAAGCATGAAAGGAAGGGTTACCTAAACCATACTCTTATAAACTCCTATGTTTATCTATGCCCTATATCGTATTTTTCAAAATTGAATCTTGCATCTTTTACAAGTGTCTGTTATTATATATGTGTGTAATTTCATTTCTTTACATCTCTTTGCGATTTTTTACGAGATGTCACATGATTTCACTATCTTGTGGAGTCGGACAGAGATAGACGTCTAACAGTGCCTTCGCCTCCGTCGCCGTGATCGGCTGCGCCGCGATCGACTGTTCCGCGATCGACTGCGTCGTCGAGACCTTAGACAAAGGAGCTGCAAATTGGAAAAAATTGGAAAGGGTAGCAAGATGTAGTTAGTGTAGTTTCTAGGGTAGTTTCTTGTCTGCAGAAACCAGGCTTCTTTAGGTGTACGGTTGATTCTCCCGCAAGTGCAAAAAATTGCCCATCAAATCATCAAATGGTCAAAACTTTGCTGAGCACAGCCTCTAACTCTTAGAACTCAAACGGGGCCGGGGGCTGGGGGTTCCAATGTCATCAGTACAATCTCTTGCTGCCTTGCTGGCTTATCTTCACACAGAGCTTTCGTGCTTCCTTTTCAGCATAGGCAGCATGTGACACAATCACATGAATCCACAATACATCATAATATCATGCGGAGCCAACCCACCAACCCAAAGAATTCAAAGCATTTTGATGCATATCCTATCATAAGTATTATATCATATATAATCATATATAATATATTATAATATCATATACAGTATATTCATTATATTTCATTCTGTTCTTCGTATTTCTTCGTATTGCTTCGTTAATGTCCTGTGTTTGCTGTGAGTCTGCACCGTTTCTGATGGTTCCAAGGTCGGCGCCGGCTTCGTCTCCTTGACCTGGCAGAGTCCGGTGGATGTGTCGCATGGCATCCAACATTATCAGTAACATGATGCCAACATATCCAACATATCCAATATTGGTCCAACATAAGTGTCAATGAAATTCAAAGAAACTGTATGACAAATGTATGACAAATGTATGACAAATGTATGACAAATGTATGACATGTGACATGTGCTGTAATTTGAACACCTATGCTTTTGATTACACCTATTTGAATATATAGTTGTCCGCAATCCACAAATATCCACAATGTATAATTATTGAAATATGTGTGTATGCCTTAAAGGAAATTGTTCATAAATATAATCATGTATATATATATATATGTAGGCAATCGTAGGCATATATTGACCATGGTGTATCAAAATCTACAACACCTATTGATATGGGACAAACAACACATCCCGTATATTATATACTAACCGATCTCATTGCAAAGCTCCCGGGCGAGTATCCTTTGGGCGGAGCTACCCAGCCTCTAGAACCTAGCCCTTTATTTATCCCTAGTATTTGCATGCAATCGCCCCGTTTGCGCAGGTTAGGAAAGTATATTGAAAGTATAAACCGATTCTCAAGCATCAAATCATTCGCACCAAACAGCTTAATTATGCTTAATTGCTTCCATGGACCAGGCTTGTTACGGCCTTTCTTTTCGTGGCTCTTCCCAGGTTGTAAGGCACAATTATAGTGAATAAAGGCATTGCTTTCGTGCTATTGAAAGGCAAGGGCACGGGCTGCGACGGCTTGGATGGAGTTCGGACAGAGTTCATGCAACTTTACTTTTTATTGGTATTTTTTGGTAGAGTTTTCACATTTCTCACCAGGATGAGACACATTTGGTCTTAGACTCACCACCGCACAGAACTCTTCTTCCGCGCGAAAAACCTAGATGCATCCTGAACTGCGCTCAGTCGCAATGGTCCTTGATCAAGGCTCCAACTTTACCGTCCTTCGTCTCAATCAAGCTATGTGGCACCTTGATCAGCAGGTTGATCAGCTGGTTGATGTGCAGGTCGATCATCGGGCTTTGCCATAGGCCATTCCTTGAGTTGACCCTTCAGCAGCAGGGCTTCTTTGTCCCACGGTTTCCAGTCCAAGTCCTTCACACTTCGATGGTCAGGGCGATCAGTGGCCAGGAGAATGTGGGGATTGCGATCGGCACAAGGCACCCCCAAGACACCCACTGCAATGGCATGCTCGCCGCGTGCTATAGTCACCACCCGAAGGCAGCACATGCTTCCAGATTGTAAGATGCTGATTTGGCTCAAAAGATCAGAGACCACCTGAACTGCGCTGAGTTCACAACGGACTTGAAGTAAGGCAAAACTTAATACAAGTAAAACATAGTAAAACGATCAAGTGCTTCAGTCAAACATAGTCCAACGTTCAAGTCAATGGATGTCAATGGCACTATACAGCCGCCATTTTGCAACAATGGGTTTGCATGGGTTCCAAACAGAATCTGTCGACGATTGCTTCCCAAGACTTTCCAGTAATATTAGTAATATTTAATAGTGGCAATATGATACAACAGTTCACTTTCAGGCACTGCGGCTATGCAGCAATGTTTGGGGCCAAACTGTGAATATCTTATGGGAGTTTACCTCTATTTCAGGCAGGGTAAACATATTCCTTTTGACGGGTAAGATCCTTGCTGTGCGGTCACTTTGCGACCCCGGCTTTAAGGCTATGGTAGGCGGCTATGGATATGTATGGATGTTACAAGACCTTTAGACTTGGAACAGATGGGGGTCCGAGGAGTCTTTCAGCCGGACTTTTTGAGAAAGTGTCACAACATGTCACAACAAAAAGAAAGGTACCCTCTCTAAGCACACCACGGATCGATGGTCCATCTGTCTGGGTTTCTGCAAAGAACCACGGCAAATCACCATCCGGTCGGCCAAGATGATCCAATTTTCAGGGACGGCCACTGCTTCCAAAAGCGCAGCTTTTGACTCTTGATCGAGTTCTACTCCGGACACTTCGATGTTTCCCGCCACACTGTCTCCCTGGACACAATCCATGCAACCGCTTGTACCAGATCCTTCGGCGGCTCGAAAGGCTGTGATGTATCTGTCTTCACCTTTGCCAAAGCTTTGTGAGATCAAGCCAATCCTTTCAGCCACAGAATGCACAAACTTTCGCTCAAGGCCAGTGAGTGTCTTTGGAAATGTCAAAGATCCCTCTGGCAAAGGACGAGCTGCTTCCAAGATACGTAGGTCACTTGCACCCACTGATACATCCAGACCTTCAGGCTCTGCATCCAAACGGTCCAAACGTACAGTGACTGCACCACCTGATGTTTTCAAGCTAGGAAGTAAAGCCACACCAATGACTTTGCCAGTCCTGCCTTGCAAGTTTTGGGGATCGGAACCAATGACTGTGATTTGGACCAGGTCACCCACCCTCGGAATAGCCGAGGTTTCTGTACCGCAGCTCAAAGCTAGCAGCTGAGCTTCCAAATGGTCTTTCCGTTCGCTTGGTAAAGCGTCCTCGTCTCCAGCATCTTTTCCTCCTTTTCCACGTTTCCCTCCTTTTCCTCCTTTTCCTCCGTTTCCTCCTTTTCGGCCTTGTTCATCACCATCTTGGCGACCTTTCTCACCTTTTCGGCCTTTTCCACCTGCGCCTTTACCATTCCACACATTTGGGAATGCACCATCCATTGCAAATCTGACTGTGTTGCGCTTGGTAAATTTCGTTGAGCTTTGTGATCTTTGTGCTTGACAAGAACAAGTTTCAGCTAACTGTAGCCACATAACTTCTCATCTGAGGTGCCATCAATACTGCAGTACATTGTGCTCAGTTTGGATGTTTATGGCTGCAATGTCATAGTCTAGTATTGGACTTCAGACTTGCTGCGGCATATTCTGTATCTGGTGCGGGAAAACATTAGACTATTTAATATGATGATCAAGTATGCCGCATCACCGTGTGAAGGGTTGACCTTGAAGGAAATCACCAGCACCATATCCAACTTATTTCTGGCCTGCTTCTTCGCCTTGCCTCAGAGATGTGAAATATCACGCCGAGAAAAGGATGAAATGGAAGCTTCTGGGGTTAATGTGGCAAGATTCATCACGCATGCAAAATCCATCTGCACCAAAGGTGCTGAAGGTGCTGGGTTTGGTCTGAATATGTCTGAATAAAGCATAAAGGCAAAGAACCCGGCTTGAGCTAGTTGAGTTAAAGGGGAAATATAGGAACTTGCATGACTTGCATGACTTGCATGGGCGAACAAGAAATTCTTCGAGATTTGGAGCCCTGCATCTGATCGGACCTGATAGGTTGGTCATCCACGCTTTCGTATCTGTGGCTTTGCCCAAACCCTGCGTCTGGGCGAGTTATGGCGAGTTGCTCGCAGGTAGTGACCAGGGTGCTTTTGGTGTTCAGTGGATTTCAGTGGTATAATAAAGCGCTTTCAAAGCTCGGGGGGGCAGCTCACAGTCAATGTGTGGATGTGTTCGTTTTTCGCTGGCCAAAAAGTGAAACTTTCGTTGGAAAATGGGCAGTCTTGCTGCTCCGTATGTCTGAAGGATTGGTCAGGGATACTGTTCTGAGTGACAAAAGGTTTCTGTTCCTTACTGAAAGCCAGAGTTTTGGGCTCCTTCCGACTCCTTTCCATCAGATTCACATCTGCTCATTGCGCAGACATAGATTCGAAGCAGCATGAGTATGAAATGCAATGGAGCACTACTGCGCCAGCCCACGGAACCGGACTGATTCAACACTTGCTGATTCTGATCGGCCCTACGCACATATCTACCGGGCAACTTGGCTCTGCAGATCCAATGCAAATCAGATGAGGAATCAAGATGTTCATAAGATGTTCATAAGATGGAAAGAGAATGAAAACAGGAGTTGTAAAGAACAAAATCCAGTTTTAATTCTTGAAGACAGGTACCACCTCATCTTTGGGAATTAATTAGCTTTTGGTTTAAAATCTTTAGTGTATGTGCGTGGTGAACCAATCACCCAGAACTGAATGTGTGAATTAAACCTGGGTTTTATTCCTGCTTTATTTGCTGTGCGAATTACTGAAGCAGCAACTATTCATATGGTCCATATGATGGAATTTTTATGACCCCGTGTAGAACAGAGAAAGTTGAAATTAGCGAAAAACTTAAAAAACAAGAAAAACACACACAAAAAAAAAACAGTCAAAAACAGAATCACCAAAAAAACATCTCGACAGGAAGAGTCACCAGAAAAAACAAAAAAAGAACAAGAAAAAAAAACACACAAAAAAAAAAACATCAAAACCTACATTTTCATCAGTTTTTGTTGTTTTTTTGATTTTTTTCTTGTGTTTCTTGTTTCTCTTGTTGGCGTGTTGTTTTCTTTTTGTTTTTTCTTGTTTTTTTCCTTGATTTTGGTTTTCTAGTTTGTTTGTTTTTTTTTGTCAAACCCTATATTCTCTGTGTTGCTGGGGTCATAATGCTATTTGTCTATTTGTTTCATAGAAAATTATAGAAAATTGTCATTCAATCAATGCAAACTAACTCGTGGATTTTGAAGTTAACGTGGATACACCTACAGGCTGCAAGATCGGTTGTATCATTTCTATGTCTTGGAATGTGTTTGCAGATGCAGAATTTAAATCTGGTTTATATTCTGTGAGATTTGGATAAATATCCCAGAGTTTCCTTTCTCAAAGAATTAAATTCTGACTGATTTATATAATTCCTCTCCAGACCCCGGTGCCTTCCAAGGGCTTTTCAAAGACCCGCTAAGAAGTGTCTACTGCGTCGAAATGTTTCTCCATTAGTGGTCTGGAAGTGATGACGTTTGCCCGAGTTAACAGGTGGACATCCATAAGTCTAAAAGACCCTCCCTGGGTTCTTCAAACGAAAAATCAATCTACCAAAAAGTTTCAGCATGCACCACAAGCCCCCCGACCCCCTGTATCAATGTTGCTACCCATTGCTTCTCAATGACCGGAGCCAGAATGGCTGTTTTTTCTTGAAGGCTCCGCCAAGCACTGCTTTCACACAACATTGAACTTGGGGGGCCAGGGGTGTCTAACCCCCGCTAGGATTCAAGTTGGTTAGCTGCTTTCTTTTGAAGAACCCGGTAAGCCCACATTCTTGCCACTTCATTGATCTTCATTGGTACCCGCACTGGCGTGGGAAACTGTAGTGTTGCCCACAAATGGTTGCAAGAAAACTTTGGGAATAAACTTTGGAGTTAATTCCACTACCTTCGGGTATGCGAAAACTTCACCCAAGTAACAAAGAATTAAATCCTGAGTTATTTCCACAAGATGGCACCACTGCACATGAGGAATAAAACCTCCAGTTCAAACCGCTGTCCTGTTACTCTGATGCAAAGAATTAAAACTAGGTTCAATAGACGGAAAGGGTCTATATGACCATGCATGATATCAAGAATTAGAACAGAAGTTAATTCTTTGTAACTCTTGTTTTGCAGTAACTCTTTTTCTCATAAGATGTTCAAAAGATGTTCAAAAGATGTTCATAAGATGTTCACAAGGTGTTCATAAAATGTTCGTACGTTTTCCACGATTTCTGAGTGCCAAACAAGTGGGCCATCGCTGAAGCCCTGCTTCACAGGAGATGATGACCTGGGGGAAAAGAAAAGTTGCAGTTCATTCTGTACCTCATTCTATCCTTATATGCCACTAATATGGCTTTTTTCGTCACCTAGTGGCTTCCCAAGTCCATATCTATGTGGTTGGTTACCAACGAAACAAGAGATTCCCTGTCGTAATGTCAAGCAACGTTGCGCAGCATAACATCGTGCATGGATGGACAAACAATCTTGGAGATTGGTGCATATTTTGAAACTTGCACGTCGTTTGCATACTTTTGCACAAAAAGAACTGGTGCACTACAGCTGCTACAAAGTTGCTACAACACCTCTCTTTCATTCTCTTTCCATCTCATGACTGAGAGATACTGAGAGTCTACTGAGAGTATGTTTTTTTTTTTTAAATTGTGTTTTTTTGTTATTTTGTTTACATGTAAAGTTTACATGTAATGCCGTGATATGCCGTGTTGGGTGACAGGTGACAAGCTCCACCTCCCGCGAGTCATCGAATCGAAGAACACTCCCGCTGACGCTCAGGGCCTCTGGAGTGCGTTCATAGTCAGCACAGCCGAAGCACTGACCTGACAATGAAAGGGAAAGGTGGTTGAATATGGTTGAATTATGTTAAATTCAATTGCAAGCCGCATCTATGATAGGCATCAATTGTCACTGTCAAAGGATTGTGAAATCTTGCACAGGTGGCTTTTGTCTGAATTCGCTAAATCGCCATCTGGGTGCACTGGGTTGAAACATGCAATGCCATGGACCATATGAACCATTTCCATCCATTTCCTAAACTGCAGGTACTGCCGCCATATTATAGATCTGCAAACAAGCTCTTTCGTGGGTTCCCTGCTAGGCTTGGTTGCTGGGGAACGACAGGCTTCTGCGCACTTCTGCGCCCTGGGCTTCCTAACCATTGGCAGAGTTGGCTGACCTCAGGACCACAGAACTTCCGACTTGTCCTTTGTGGTCGTATGGTCGTATGACTTTGTTTAATTCATAGGACAGGAGCTATGATAGGTGCTGATAGACTACAACGCTTCTCTAAGGAAGTGGTATGAAGCAGTATGAAGCGATCTTACCAGGCAATCCATCAATAGTCACTAAATGTCATTAACGTCGGCCATCTTGCTGCTCAAAAAGAGTCGTTGCAAAGCACCCGTCTTTGATTCCCAGGATCCAGGCTAGTGGATGCATGTTGCATTCCCGGCTGCCTGTCATCGCATGTTGCTCGTGTCAGTGCAATGCGAATCTCCGAACAAGATCGAACAAGATCGAACAAGCCTGCAAGATCCTGCAAGATCTCCAAGATCTGCAAGTTTTAAAATGTTTTAAACACTGTGGTCGCCAGCCTTCTGCCAATTTCAGGTGGTAAGTTTCTTACAAGTAACAATCAAGTAACTATAAGTATGGAACCATCAAACGAGAAACCGTAGACACATCATGACACATCTCCGGCATCTGGGAATTCAAGTGTAATTGCTGTGCCAAAATGGCATCCTGGTGGTACTTCATAAGGCTCTGGCTGCTGGGTCAAGAATCAGGATATTCAATATTCTATATATTTATATACACGTATACTAATTGATTGGTTGTCAATTCGAAGTACCAACAAAAACTATCAAAAATAGCAAAGCTGTGGGCTGCTTTACTTTTCTCACTTGTTTGTACTGCTGGAAAGTCTTTAGAGAACACCCGGATTCCCTACACTGTCTTTCCCTTCTTGATCAAGGCTTTTGTATGGATTGATATTAGAACAAACAAGGAGTTCTTGAATTCTTGAAGGTGAAAGAGGTCCCGAGTTCTTGACCCCTTGACAAAGAGTTGGGAATGTGAGGCTATCACTTCACAGGATCTAGGGATCAGCGGGATCAATGCCAGAGTTGCAACTGCACAGCATTTGAGGTGAAGGAATGTTGCGGCACTGCAAAGATTTGCCTGGACACCAAGAGCCCCATGGTCATGCAGGCCCACGTACAGGTGCTAGCAGTAAGATGTCAAACTCAATTGCAAACACTATATACTAGTAAGTCTCACAAACTCAAGGTAATAACGGTCTTTCCGAGGTGTATGTCTGCACCCCTTTGTAAAGAAAAAAAACATGTCATTGTGAAGTGTTTTACATGCAGAATGCATAAGAGCTCAATTCCAAAATATTCCAAGGCTGCCTGGACCCTGTTGAGGGAGTTGCTGCAGCCTTTGGGCCTTTGCCAAAGGCGCTGGTAACCTTGCAAGGCAAAGGACAGATTCAGATTCAAATCATCTCAGAAATGTCAAATCTTTGCAAAAATGTTCTGCACACTGCACAGCTTTGATTGGACGCCGACACAAAAGCAGAAAAACTCTGCTGCAGTACGTGAGTTTCTCTTAAACAAATCACAAGGATCCAAAAATTGCAGCGGAAGAGAAGCGAACCCTATAAATACAGTATATTATACATATATATATACACAATTATACACACTGACACAATCAGACACATTATAATTTTAATAGATATTTTCATAAAGACAAATGACTGATAGTATCTGATGTACCTCCTGGATCTGCTGATTTCTGTTGTGGCGTTATACGGGATGCTGGGCTGCGGCGCAGGATGGCCATGAAGTGGAGCGAATCCACATGAATCCACAAAGATCCAACAAGTGTACCGAGATGTACCGAGATGTACCGAGTATACCGAGTATACCGGGTACTCTTTTAACTTTTAACACTTTCGTTTGTCGATCTTGCAGCGGGCCGCAGAGCGGGCTTGATTCTACAAACCAAAGGACTTTGCAAGTAAGCAGGAACATGCAGGAACTATAAAGATGTGCATCTCTCAGCTTTGCACTCCAGGGGCAAAGAGATCTTCATCGGAGGAATCTTCATCTTTGGACTCCTTCGCACAGCTGACTCAGCTTTAGCACAGAGGGTTGCTTTCGTTGAAAAAAACTGAGTCAGTTGCTCCAAGTTTGGCCTGCGCACAGCAATCTCAAGGAGCAAGATCTGAATTCGCCAATCTTTTGCACGCATAATTCATGCAGTGTGTAGCCACTGTTCAGCTTGCAGGATCTTGCAGGCCCACCCCAGCGAAAATGGCCTGCTTTGGCGCGGGCGCTGGCTCACTCAGTGCCGCTGCCACGAAACCACTCTTGGCCATGATCTTCCCAGGGCCTGACGGCTTTCACATGTTGACTCGGTTGACTTATGGTTTGTTGATGAAGTATTGGTTGCATTTGGTTGCATTTGGTTGCCAATTTCAAGCCTTCAAACCTTGAAAGTGAAATGGTGGACTTGGGGCACCAAGAGTTATCAGCCCTTTGAAGTGCACTTGTTATGTAGACTCTGTAAATCGCTTGGTTCTGCCTTGTCTTGGATTGCCACTGATCTTCTGTCGATTTAGGGCCTGGCACTTTCGGCGTGGCCACCAGCAAAGATATGTAAATGAGATCAAGTGGCAAATTTACAATAATCTAGGCTAATCTAGGGATATAATCTGCGTGACTACATGTGGAAGTAGAGGTACTGAACTGCCTCCCTCTGTCATTCAAGCTACACTCCAAGGCGAAGCAAGCAGGAACGCACGTGTTGCTTGCAAGCAGAGCTGTTGTTGTTTGATTTTTTAATTCCACACTGCTCCATGTAACGCCCGCAAGGAGCTGAGAGACCAACTGCCAGCTGATCGGCTTCTTTGTCCAATCGCTTTGACAGTTCCTCTTGCCACAGTGGCCAACAGTGGCACAGGTTCCAAGCTGCACGATGGCAAACCCCTCAGTTGCGCACACGATTTTCCCCTCATTTGTGCACATCCCTTCACTTGCGCACACATACTTTGCCCTCTCCCCAACAAAGCAATGATCAGCATGCTAAACCACTATCTAAATACTTTGCCCTCTCCCCAACAAAGCAATGATCAGCATGCTAAATCACTATTCAAATCTTCCCCACGTCTGTCCTACAAAGCAACTGGTTACATGCTAAATCATCATTTAAATTCTCCCCCTCTCTTCCAAACAAAGCAATGGGCTACATGCTAAGACATTATTTAAATCCCCCCCCTCTGCCCGACAAAGCAATGATCACAACAATTATTTAAATCCTCCTTCCCATTGCCCTACAAAGCAATGGGCTACATGCTAAATCATTATTTAAATAGTCCCCCCCTCTGCCCTACAAAGCAATGGGCTACATGCTAAATCATTATTTAAATCGTCCCCCCCTCTGCCCTACAAAGCAATGATCAGCATGCTAAATCATCATTTCAATTTTCCCCCCCTCTGCCCTACAAAGCAATGGGCTACATGCTCAGTCACTATTTAAATCTTCCTCCCTGTCTGCCCTACAAAGCAATGGGCTATATGTTAAATCTTTATTTACGTTTCCTCCCCTCTGCCCTACAAGCAATGGGTTACATGCTCAGTCATTATTTAAATCTTCCCCCCCTCTGCCCTACAAAGCAATGATCAGCAGGTGCAATCATTATTTAAATCTTCCCCCCGCCCCGCCCTACAAAGCAATCGGCTAGCATGCTGGGTCATTGTTTAAATCATCTCCCCCTTTGCCCTACAAAGCAGTGATCAGCATGCTGAATCACTTTTGTTTGCTTCCCCCCCGGATGACTGTGATGTATTGGGATATACCTCAGTTAAGAAACATCTAAATCTAAGCACTTGATGGGGCAAATGGTCTACTTCTGGCTGGTGGAAGTTCAGAAGTCCAAGATGATTAGACACTTGGGAAAGCACTTGCAGAAAGCCGTCATGCTGCGGTGTTAGATCTTCACATGCAGGTGCAGACACGTTTGACGCTACTCTGTAAAATCTTCTCTTCAACGACACTCAAAGAGGTTCATGAGTGGAAATTCAAAAGTCCAAGCAGCAGTCAATGCTTAGACATGCTGGATTGCAATTGCAGAAAGCCGTCATGCTACAGTGTTAGATCTTCTGTTGCATGTGCATACACACTTGATGCTAATTACTCTGTAATATCTTTTCTTCAACGACGCTCTGAAAGGTTCATGGATGGAAGTTCAAAAGTCCAAGCAGTCATCACTGCTTAAACATCCCGTCGGGTGGAAAACCGCGCCAGCGGTTGCGAGCGTTTTGAAGCAAGGGGGGGCCTGAGAACCCAAAAGCAAAACGACAGCAAACATATTTGAGTAATAATTGGTTTGTTTCCCTTTCGCCTCTTGCCAGCATCTTTTTAGAAGATGAACATTATGGACGCATTCACTGCAAATTTCATTTTTTCAGATGGAAGCATTGAGTGACGGCGCAATAGCCAAGCAAGCTCATTTGAGCACGGTCATGCGAGGGCGGCTGATTTCCAAATCAACCTCCGACACATGCAGTGGAAACCTCGCACGTTTTTTTCAGCTGCGGACGGAATAAAATGAATAAATGAGTGACGGAGCGCAATAGCCAAGCAAACTCATTTGAGCACGGTCATGCGACGGCGGCTGATTTCCAAATCAACCTCTCCTTTCCTTTCTCTTCCTTTCCCTTTCTTTCCCTTTCTTTCCCTTCCTTTCCCTTCCTTTCCTTCCTTTCCTTGCTGTCCGTTCCGTTCCCTTCCTTTCCCTTCCTTTCCCTTCCTTTCCCTTCCTTTCCCTTCCTTTCCCTTCCTTTCCCTTCCTTTCCCTTGCACCCACACCGTCCGCACACCACCGTTCAAAGCAGCGCGCGCCCCACGCGGGGAAACAACTAAACGAGAACCCAAGCATCGAAGATGCTTTTGGGAAAGATGCCGTTTTCGCCACAGCAAAACGATTGATTCATTCCACAAAATAGGCTTAAAATCCCTGGGAATTTGAAGTGCGTTTTTGATGATGTCCTGTAATTTACAGGGAATTTGCTCTTGAAAACGCGCGCGATGCTTTCCACCTCTCACATCGCCATGCGCTTCTTCAAAGAGCGACCAGTGACCTCCAAAAATGTTTTTCGATTTGGGGTTCACCCAACGCCATTGCCACACCCTGATGTTTCGCATCAGTTTTGGGTTCACATGGCTGTTGACTCTGGTCGCAAGACTACATGGTATGGCCGACTTTATGAAACATAGCACGCTGATTGTATGAAAAGCGAATCACAACATGAAGCTTAGTGCCGACAGGTTACAAGGTCTTGTTCCTGTTTTACATCTGTATCAACACCTGTGCGCATCCTACAATTATGATGCCAGCAAGGGGAAACCCAAACGCGACGTAGCATGTGCATGTGACGCAAGGTAACATGAACGTTAACAAACCCCACCCCCGCAACCCAAGACGGGGACGGGGGTCACATTCGCCTCTACCCCCAGGGTCACATTCGCCCCTACCCCAAGAGAGGTCACATTCGCCCCTACCCCACTATCCTTTCGATTGAATGTGTCATTCAACCTTTTAGGGTTTGACCTGGGGACACAGGAGATTTAGGAGGGACTTGGGGACATTGGTTAAGTCACTTGCCGCACTATTGAATATGTCATTCAACCTTTTAGGGTTTGACCTGGGGACACCGGGCATTTAGGGGGTACTTGGGGACATTGCTTAGGGGGAACTTGGGGGGGACATTGGTTAGGGGGGTGAGGTAGCAATCCTCGGTATTTAGGGGCCCTGGATCTAAGCTAGAAAGCAATGAACACTTGTGGTCCACAGTCGGAGTGCAGCACCTTTTCTGTAGCTATGCTAGCAAAGGGATGTTACAACATAGCATCCAGAGCATCTGGGAAGTTGATTGAAATAGAAGTCACAACGAAACTTCCAGCGTCTTGGAGCTGCTTGAAATTGGATTTTACAACGTAACACGTGAAAATGACTACCTGAGCTGGAAAAAATCATGTCGAGGCTCTGCAGGGGTCACATTCGCCCCTACCCCAAAAGGGGTCACATTCGCCCCTACCCCACAATCCTTTCCAGTGAATGTGTCATTCAACCTTTTAGGGTTTGACCTGGGGACACGGGGCATTTAGGGGGGACTTGGGGACATTGGTTAAGTCACTTGCCGCACTATTGAATATGTCATTCAACCTTTTAGGGTTTGACCTGGGGACACAGGGCATTTAGGGGGGGACCTGGGGACATTGCTTAGGGGGGAACTTGGGGGGGACATGGGTTAGGGGGTGAGGTAGCAATGCTCGGTATTTAGGGGCCCTTGATCTAAGCTAGGCAGCAATGAACACTTGTGGTCCACAGTCGGGGTGCAGCACCTTTTCTGTAGCTAGCAGCTAGCAGCTATGCTAGCAAAGGGATGTTACAACATAGCATCCAGAGCGTCTGGGAAGTTGATTGAAACGGATGTCACAACGAAACTTCCAGCGCCTTGGAGTTGCTTAAAAGGGGTTTTACAACGTAACATGTGAAAAATGACTATCTGAGCTGGAAAAAATCCTTTCAAGGCTCTGAAGCTACTGCGCCTGCCACACAAAAGCAGGGGTCACATTCGCCCCTACCCCAGGGTCACATTCGCCCCTACCTCCACCTTGAGTAGGGGCAAATGCGACCCCCGTGCCCAGATGTGAGGTAGCATGTGCGTGTGACGCAAGTTAACATGAGCGTTAACACACGCACCCCACCCCCCAACCCAAGATGTGACGTAGCCTGTGCATGTGACGCAGGTTTACATGAACGTTAACGCACCCCACCCCACCCGACCCGACCCAGCAACATACGCGTGTTTTCAAAAACGTGCACGACTACTGGCGTGGTTTTCCCCCCGCTGGCTTAAACATGTTGGAGAACAATCGCAGCAAGCCGCCATGCTACAAACAGTGTTAGATCTTCTGGTGCGTGCTCGACACTCTTGCTACTACACGGCAAGATCGTCGCCATCTGGCGGACAAGCGAGGTGAAAGTCACGTGTACAAGAGAGGGGAAACTCACGTGCACAAGCGAGTGGTCGCCCTGCATGATGATCTCTGATAACAAGGCTTTGCACGATGATAGCTCCCATTTTTTCCTCTCTCTCGAAGGAGGAGGATGAGGTGGATGATGAAGATGAATGAGTGACGATTATCTTCTTGCTTACAGGGCCTACAGTGATCCGATGCGAGCTGCTAAAATCAGCTCTGGGTGTTGTCCTGCACCGTCTCCTTTTGCTTTGACGTAGCATCAAAGCCCAGGCCGAAGGCAGACTTCTCCGCCTGATCAGTCTGGGCAGAGTCTGTGCATAAAGACACCAAGCGTGCTCTTAGTAGTGTAGGGGCTTCGAACATCTTAGAACAACATCTTCAATCATGAGCCGTTTCATACTTCACTGTATGACGTGCAGTCTGTCCATGTGTCGCATGTGTGGCCTGAGTCAGTGAGAATTGTTCCAAGGTACGGCTTTTCGGGCGTGGGGCATCAACTTCAAAAGCAACAAGGGAGTCAACCGCACATCATCCTCATCGAGACTTGCAGCCCCCATGCTCCCCCAGATGTCGTGGGTGTTGTGTAGGCGAGGAAAAGGCTGTGCGTGAAGAGGCAGGGACGGAGGGGAAACGGCTATTGAAGTGTATTGGTTTGTACTGAAATTGACTAGTTGTGCTACTTCAGAGTGTACAAGGTGTACAGTAGTTCCTCTCACAATGTCGGGCGGGATGGAGGAGACATGAGGAGACCATACCCGTGCCTGTGGTTCTGGGGAACAGGCTCTCACCCTCCAGTGTGCACTGCTGTCACTTGTTTCTTTATCTGTTCATCCCCGACCACCTACCCATGTATTCATTTGCATAGTTTGCTCCTCGCACCTCCTAGCTCACTTGATAGAAGATGATAGAAGCACATGATGCGTCCTAGTAGGTCCTGCTACTACACTGCTACAGTACAGCTCATACATACTCACCACCAGAGTATCTGGAATGCGCAGGTCTTACCAGCGCAATCCATCCCGAATTCCACAATTTATTTACAGATATTTATAATTATTTATATACAGTATCTATCAGTATCTATGTTTTCTGGGCAGCTTCATTGGTCTGACGAAGCTCAAAGCACTGTGACGATTTGACAAGCCACTCAAAATGGTTCAAATCAAATACACAGGTGTCCTGTATACACATGTCTACACTACGGCTCACACTATAGGCACATAATAAGAAGCACATAGGTACCATGGCCCGCCTTGCCACCTTTCTTCTTTCCCAGGAAGCTCCGACCTTCCAACTTAGCTGCCTTGGATCCGTGAACTTCTGTGAAACACCGTCGAATCATTGGTGCTGGCCAAGCCTTGCTCCTTCCAGTCCTCACAAATGAACTCTAAGAAATACTACTGTAAGTCCCATACTAGGCATTTCTGAGCACATGTATATGTCATCTTTGAATCATATTTCTCTGATCAATCCTAATCGCATCTTCCAGGAGTTGCTGCCATCCATGGATCCGAGATACTCGGAATGGCCCGTACTTCATCGCAAGGCCCTGCGCGTCAGCTGCAGCATGGAAGGCAAACACAAAACTTCACAAAGTAGTTGGGGAAGTATGCGAATCTGCGGCATGCTTCACATTGCTGCACTATATCCTCATTTTTGCCTGAGTCTCTGTGCGTGTGTGTGCGTGCGTGTGCGTGTTCGCGTGCGTGTAGGTGTGCGTGTGCACATGCGGGTGCGTGTGGGTGTGTGCGTGTGGGTGTGTGTGTGGGTGTGTGCGTGTGTGTGTGCGTGTGTGTGCGTGTGTGTGTGTGCGTGTGTGTGCGTGTGTGTGTGTGTGCGTGTGTGTGCGTGTGTGTGCGTGTGTGTGTCGTGTGTAGTGTGTTGTGTGTGCGTGGGTGTGTGTGCGTGTGTGTGCGTGTGTGCGTGTGTGTGCGTGCGTGTCGTGCGTGGTGTGCGCGTGTGTGTGCGTGTGTGTGCGTGTGTGTGTGTGCGTGTGGTGCGTGTGTGCGCGTGGTGCGTGTGTGCGTGTGTGCGCGTGTGTGCGTGTGTGCGTGTGTGCGTGTGTGCGTGTGTGTGTGTGTGTACACCGTTATAACAAACGGTTTTAGTTCTGTTTATTGCGCTTGTACATTTCTCAACAGCAGGGGGCAGAGATACCTATGTCACTTTCTCTGCCAACGAAGCTGGGTGACATGTGGTAAGGATATAGATCAGGGACGCCTGATCTACGTACCTGCTATAGTTTCAACTGTTGACTTTCTGTTTTTGTTTATGAGCTGTGCGTTGTTTCTTCGATCGCGAATCCGTGTCTGCCGAAAATCTACTGCCAGGCAACTCAGGAAATTAGGCGACGACTATGACATCATTCACACTTTCTACTCACTATTACCCCACAGTGTGTCCTGGGTGTTTGACCTGACTTGGTCGCACCGTCGGTTGGTTTCGACCAATCAAAAAGTCATGAGCGGGCATTTTCCCGTATTCAGAGTGGAGTATGAATCTCCGAAGCCGTATGCACTTCGAGTGCATTTCAAGCGTCATATGACGAAGTCAAGATTTTACACTGTAAAATCCAATCGAAGCAGCCATAAGGCGAAGAAGCCATAAGGCAGAAGTTTCGTCCAGTTCGGACAAAGCAGACATAAGTCGAAGTTCCCAGCACCGCGGGTGCAATACAAGTGCTTTTTGGTCTGGTCGGAGTCTCAATAGCATTTTCACCTCACTCGTCATCGTCATCAGGTTCTTTTTAGGCCATGTGTTCATTCTCTTAGGCAGGCTCCTTAGGTTTGTTTTACCAGGTATAGAACATGGTTCAACGTTTTGTTTCTCACATCACTCGTCATCAGGTTCTTTTGAGGCCATGTATTCATTCTCTTAGGCAGGCTCCTTAGTTCAGTTTTACTAGGTATAGAACATGGTTCAACGTTTTATTTCTCACATCACTCATCATCGTCATCAGGTTCTGTTTAGGCCATGTATTCACTCTCTTAGGCAGGCTCCTTAGGTTACTATATAGCAAACGGTTTAGTTTTGATGAATCAATCATGTTTTGATACAGCAGGGAATTTTGTTATGCAGATTGAGCCGAAACTTGTCGGAACCTTTTCGGTCAAGAGCTCAGCAACAACTCAAGCTCATTCTGCAGTTCCGGAACTCAGAATTTCCACTTGCCAATGTACCTGTGCGATTTTTTGTTCTTGACGATGATGGAATTACAAATGAGGTCTTGGCTGAAAGGCTTTATCGTACAGTCTCTGTGCATCGTTTTCATTTTGAACTCAAACGTACTGCATTTGCATACGCTTTTTCTTTCATGTTAGGATTTACGACTTATAGAACAAGGTTTAACTTTTTGCTTTTCACATCACTCGTCATCGTCATCAGGTTCTTTTAGGCCAGGTATTCATTCTCTTAGGCAGGCTCTTTAGGTCAGTTTTCTTATGTAAAAACTAGGCGGCTTGCGGTTTTGCCCCATTTCGGGGCCATTGTGTGTGTGTGTACACCGTTATAACAAACGGTTTTAGTTCTGTTTATTGCGCTTGTACATTTCTCAACTGCAGGGGGCAGAGATACCTACGTCACTTTCTCTGCCAACGAAGCTGGGTGACATGTGGTAAGGATATAGATCAGGGACGCCTGATCTACGTACCTGCTATAGTTTCAACTGTTGACTTTCTGTTTTTGTTTATGAGCTGTGCGCTGTTTCTTCGATCGCGAATCCGTGTCCGCCGAAAATCTACTGCCAGGCAACTCAGGAAATTAGGCGACGAATATGACATCATTCACACTTTCTACTCACTATTACCCCACAGTGTGTGTGCGTGTGGGTGTGGGTGTGCCTTTGCTGATATGTTGAAATGTGCGCGTGCGGGATGCATGTGTGTGTGATTGTGTATATTGTAATATGGAGCAACAGTCGTTTCAATATCATTTTCATTTTACCTGTGAAAAACAATCACATGCAAACAGCTACGTAGAATTATTGAGTTGTATCAGAATGCATTGAATTCTGATGAAACACTAGCCAGTAGCAGCTGCGATCTCGATGGAATCTTCGGCGTACGGGTTGTGCTCTCCTCTTCATTCTGATATATTCGTAGTGTGGCGGCAGCGGGTGTTGTCATCGTGGTGTCCAGCATTTTGTTATCATGGTACAGCAATCCTATGTATTGCTAATGGTGATGTTGGTGGCATTAATAGGAACGCAGTGGCGCAATGATGCAAGCAGCAATAGCAGCAACGCTACGCGCGGGCTTCAGTGCCAGTTCAAGCACCTTATGTTTTGCTCGCCCCCTTCCTGACATTCAGGACATAGCCATTTGTGTGTGTGTCTGTGTATCCATGTGTATCCTCTAGATTCATACTTTGCTCATATGCTGCTCAAACGCTGCTCATTACTTGCATGTCCTTGAGTCTGAATCTGTGGCTCTCTTTCGCCTTCAAATCCTCAGGGACTTTCTGGTTGGCTTGCTCCAGGTTTTCGACCTCGGCTTGGATGAGAAGCGTGCGAAAAAAATGCACAAAGTACTGTACATCTAATTACTATATCAAATTGTGTTCAGGATATTAATCAATGGGTGATGATTTGTTTAAGGTTTTTTTGTTTTTTTGTTTTTTTTGATTTGCTATTGGTGTTCCTTCATTTTCCATTAGTTTTCCTTCAGTTGTCCTTCATTTTCCATTAGTTTTCCTTCATTTTCCATTAGTTTTCCTTCATTGTCCATCAATTGTTCCTTCATTTTCCATTAGTTGTCCTTCATTTTCCATTGGTTTTCCTTCATGTTCCAATAGTTTTCCTTCATGTTCCATTAGTTTTCCTTAATTTTCCATTAGTTTTCCTTCTGTTTTTTTGGTCGTCGAGGCTGCTGTCCTTCATTTCTCATTGGTTTTCAAGGTTTCAAGGTGTCTATCGTTTTTCCTCTCTTGTCATCGACTTTATTTGTTTTACTTGTGTTTTCATTCCATTTTTTTGTTTTTATGATTTTTATCCATTGATCTCTATGGTTTTCATCGATGGTTTTCAGCATTTTCTGTATGTTTGTCGTCCATCACTCTCTGGTGTTTCTCGTTTTCCGTTTCTTTCGAGCATTGTTTTTTTTAACTGTTTCCATCGGCACATGAATATAGTTGGAGCCTAGATTGAACAAGTGTCGTGAAATACGTTTTAGCCGCAGCAAAGAGCTAGTTAGGCCATTGGTTGCAAAAGGTCTCCATTTCTTTTCTAGAAGTATGCATACGAACTTGTTTTTCTATATGTCAGTTTCCTGTACTTTCTGCGCAGTTTACATGGAGGCCCTGTGTAGTGTATGTGCAAGGTTATGTGCAAACAACAAAAAAGTAGATATAGTTTCACTATACGTGTGTTTGAGGTACTATCGCCTAGTGAAGCCAACAAGCAAGTGCCAAGTGAAGCCAAAACCAAAAAGCCAAAAAATCAACTAAGTGTCCTGAAACATGGGTTTGCAGTGACAGAAAAGGGCTAGTCCGGACACTTGTTGAAAAGAGTTTTAGTTCCTATCGCACAAGCATGCATAGAAACCCACGAGTAAACGTCTGAGGGTCGTGCAACCCAAATGACATGAATATAGTTGGAGCCCAGATTCAACAAGTGTCCTGACATGCGATTTTTTTCTTCCTGAAAAGGGCTAGTTAGGACACTTATTACTAGGGTCTTCATTCCTCTCGCACAAACCAAAGGAGAAAAACCAAAAGGCCAACAAACCCAATGCAAAATGCGAAGTGAAGCGAAGGCTAAAAGCCAGAAGCCAAAAGCCAAAAAGCCAAGGGCCAAGTGAAGCCAAAGCCAAAAGCCCGAGGCCAAACGCCAAAAGCCCAGTGAAGCCAAATGAAGCCAAAGTGAAGCCAAGTGAAGCCAAGTGAAGCCAAGTGAAGCCAAATGAAGCCAAGTGAAACAAATAACATGGAAAAACTGCCCCAGACTGAAAAACAAAAAAACAAATAAATAAATACATACCAGTTAAATTACCAACCAAATCATGAACAAGAACCAGCTATAGAACTGCTGACATTGCCCGCATGTGATCTTGTGTCAGATTGTTCGGATTGTTGGACTGACAACTGGGCACCGCGGACAAGCAGGGCAGCCATCTTCTTGTTCTGCTCATCACTGGTAAGTAGAGTGTAGGCCTGCAAACAGAGCAGAACCCCGCATTTTTACTGTTTCACTTGGAGCATTCGTGCAACGCAAAACAGTTCGAGAACATATTGAACCTGCTTGTGGCCGTGTTCTATCACCCTGCCTAAAAACAGAACAAAGAAGGAACACACGCACATACAAACAGGAAAACATACAAACATACATACAAAAATACAAAAATACAAACATACAAGCATGCATACATACATACATACAATCATACAAACAGACAAACAGACAAACAGACAAACAGACAAACAGACAAACAGACATACAGACACACAGACATACAGACGTACAGACGTACAGACATACAGACATACAGACATACAGACATACATTACATTACATTACATCACATTACATTACATTACATTGCATTGCATTACATTACATGACATGACATGACATGACATTACATTACATACATGCATACATACCATACATAAATAACATACGCAACATACATACATAAGATACATAACATACAAAACATACATAACATACATTACATACCTACATACCTACATACCTACATACCTACATACCTACATACCTACATACCTACATACCTACATACCATACATACATACATACATACAGACATACATACATACATACATACATACATACATACATACATACATACTTATACATACCTACATACATACATACACACGTACGTACGTTCGTACGTACGTACATATCTACATACCTACATACCTACATACCTACATACCTACATACCTACATACCTACATACCTACATACATACATACATACATACATTACATACATTACATACATACATATTTTTACATACCTACATACATACATACATACACACGTACGTTCGTACGTACGTACATACCTACATACTTACATACCATGCCATATCTTACATTACATTACATTACATTACACTACACTACATACATACATTACATACATTACATACATTACATACATTACATACATTAAATACATACATTACATACATTACATACATACCTTACATACCATACATACCATACATACCATACATACCATACATACCATAAATACAATACAATACAATACAAGGCAAGACAAGACAAGACAAGACAACACAACACACTACAATACAATACAATCATACAAACATACATTACATTACATTACATTACATTGCATTACATTACATTGCATACATACATGAATTACATATATACATTTCATTACATATAAACATTTATACATATACACATAGCAAAGCAAAGCAAAGCATTGCATTGCATTGTAAAACATTGCATTGCATCACGCTACATTCACATTGCATTTCATCAGATTACAATATACTTCATTGCAGTACATTACATTAAATACACGCATACATATGTGTATATATATATATACACATTATGATCATTAAATATATTATATATGGTATATGTGTGATACATTATGTATATATATATGGTATATGTGTGCGCGTGCACTCTCATAAATGGAGTTGTTGGTTCGGTTGCTCAATATGTTCTAAACGTATAATCACCTTGTGTATGTATATACATATATGTATCATGTCTATTTAGACAGTCATACGTATGCTGCGTGTATTTATATTAAAAAGTATATATATATATATATTTACACATATATATATATATGGGTTTTGATCAAAATTCCTTTATCCGGGAACGGCCATTCTTCGCGAAAAAAATGTTACTTTCGCGAAACTTTCGCGAACTCCATGTTTATCTTTCGCGGGGCCCATGTTGGCCAACAACACCTCTTATGAAGATTCGTTCACCACCTGCCAAATTACGCCAGAGAATCACGGATCACTTCTAGATAGCCTTTTAAACATGCAGCTAGCACCACGGAATCCCTTCTCAGGGCAGATTGTTGCTGACTAGGTTTTTTTGGCAAGGTTTACTGGCCCACCCCCTTCAACATGCACTTTGACTTTCGCCCGCTCTTTCGCATAACTTTCGCGGAACTTTCGCGAAATTATCCCTATTCACAGACCCCGGCCATCAGCAGGGGGTGCATTGAAGGAAAAGCGAACACCAGGGGCCTTGGTGTTTGGCTCTCGCAAAGCCTCACTTTTGGAAACTTGGCTACTGCATTTGGAGCTTGTTTCTTGAGACTTGAAAAAGCATCATTAGGCAGTGACAGCGGCAGGTGCAAGGATGTGCTTCAGGACCATGGCGCTTGGCTGTCGCGAAGCCTCGCCTTTGGAAGCTCAGCTGCTACATATGAAGGGTGTGATTGTCCACAAGCACCACCACACAGGGAACTGGACCAGAACCAGACCGAAATTCTCTAGTGCCCTTCTCCTGCCGGACCCCGGGCGGCAGTGGGTGGCAGCCCTTTACATAATGATTATAATATCCAACTTTCGCGAAACTTTCGCGAAACCAAATGTTACTTTCGCGAACTCAAAAAAAAAACTTTCGCGAGGGTTTCCAACATAATACGCACGGCTTTCGCAATTAAAACTCCTTGCCTTACAAGGACCTTTAGATCGATCACCATATATACACACCATGTGAGTGCACATATACGCCTGCATGCATGCATGTCAGTATATACCAGTATCTACGCATCTATAAAATCCGCCAGCCTGCCGGCCGCCTGTTTGGTGGATGTTCTTGTGATACATCGTGCGATAGCTTTATCTTCACGTATAATTGCTTCTTCGACGGATGTTTGTTTTCGCTGCTCTACCCCGCTCCTCCCCCCTCCCCCCCACGTATACACTATAGTCTAATATAGTCTCGTATAGTCTAGTTTAATACATGTTTAAAGTCTAGTTAGTATATTCTAGTATATATAATATTATATATAAGTCTAGTATAATAATAATATATATAAGATTATATAAGTGTATAAGTCTAGTATAAGTCTAGTATAAGTCTAGTATATTAAAAGTGTATATGATTGTATATATAATATGATATATATAAGTCTAGTATAGTCATGTATAGTCTAGTATACTCTGGTCTAGTACAGTATGTATGATATATATATATATATACAGTTAGTGTAATCTAGTATCGTCTCGTGTCGCCTCGTGTCGTCTCCTGTCGACTCGTCTCGTCTCTTTTCTCAAGCTGCCTAGCACTGACCTTATTTACATCATCATCGTCTCGGTGGTCAGCGTCATCATCAGCATCATCATCATCATCAACATCATCATCATCATCAACATCATCATCATCATCATCAGGTTCGTCAGGTTCGTCAGGTTCATCTTCTTCTTCTTCCGGCTCGCTCCTGGGCTGGGATGCAGCATTTTTCCACTTTTTCTCCACGTTTAACGCCCGTTCTCGCCAATGAGATGCGGCATCTTTCCACGTTTTGTCACATAGATTTCCTGCCCATTCCAGGCAGAAGTACGTTCTAACCTGCCGCTTTTGTGCCCAACACTTTCCATAAACACCTACCACTCCTGTTTTTCCTCTGCATGCACGACCTTCTCCGCATGTCCCAGCCATGCCGCTTGCATCTACCAGCTTGGCTCCTTTTGGTTTCATCTCCAAGGTCTTACACGCGCCAGCTTCTACACAAACCAACGTTTACACCAGCCAGCTTTTACACAAACACCCTTTTACACCAAGCACTTTTTGCAAAATTTACACCAAGCAGCTTCTACACAAACCCGCTTTTACACGAACTCGCTTTTCCACAAACCACCTTTTACACCAACCAGCTCTTACACAAACGAGCTTTTACACGCATCAGTCTCTACGCAAACATCGCAAACCAACTTTTCGACCAACCAGCTTTCACACAAACAACGTTTTGCACCAACCAACTTTTACAAACCAGCTTTTACACAAATCAGCTTTTACACAAACCAGCTTTACACAAACCAACTTTTAGACAAGCCACCTTTTACTATATGCAAATGCAAACCACCTTTTACACCAACCAGCTTTACACAACCCCGGCTTTGGGCCTGTTGGCCAAAGGCCAGAGGGCCGGCGGAATGCCGAAGGCTCTTAAATACATGTCTAAGCATACATCTATGTACATACATGTTTATCCCGGCGGAATCTTTTATCGGCTTCACAACATGGTCAAAATATGTCAACATTGTGGTTTCGCTACAGTGACAGGATGCTTTTTGTCCGCAAAATGTGATCACGAAAAACATCCGTTGCTTTTGGCGTGGGCAACCCTTCCTGCATTTTCTCTTTAAAACCACGCTCGTTTTGCTTTGTCAGCTCAGCTCTTGAAGAGCTTGGGCCGTTTGCAGCAGGAGATTGTGTTGATTACTGTATTTTATGTTCCCAATGCCATTGGAAGGAGCAGATGTATTTGAACAGGCTTTTGTTCACAGCAGCTCCTTTGCAATTCAACAAGGAACTCTAGCGTAACATCAACTGAGTGTCACCGTGAACGTTACTGCCCCACCCCACTCCATCCCGGACGTAAGACATCTCTAGCATAACATCAACTCGGTCTCATTTTGAACGTTGCTGCCCCACTCCTCCCCTGACATAAGACATGGACGATGCCAAAAAACGCGCGTTTTGTGGGATGGTAAAAAAATCTGCCAGCATGTCGATAGATACATGTGTATACTGTATACATCTGTGATCATCTGTGTATACATCTATGTATACATCTGTGTATACATGTCATGTGTATACATGTGTGTGTATACAGTATACATGTGCATAGTATACATTATACAGACTACATTACATTACATTGCATTAGATTAGATAAGATTAAATTATCGTAGATTAGATTATATTAGATTACATTACATACATACACTTGCAATTACAATAATTACAATTTCATTACATTACATGCCATACCACACCATGCCATACAAAAACTTCAAATTCATTACGTACATACATTACATGCATTACATTCCGTTACATTACATTACATTGCATTACATTACACTACATTACATTACTTACATTACTTACATTGCATGCATTACATACCTTACATACATTACATACATGACATACATACATTACATACACTACATACATTACATACATGACATACATTACATTACATACATTACAATCATTACATACATTACATACATGACATACATGACATACATTACATTACATACATTACATTACATACATTACGCACAAACATTGCTTACATGCATTGCATTATATTCCATTACATTCCGTTACATTCCATTCCATTACATTGCATTGCGTTGCGTTGCGTTGCATCGCATCGCATTGCAATGCATTACATACATACATACATTACATTACATTACATTACATTACATTACATTACATACATACATCCATGCATGCATGCATGCATGCATACATACATACATACATACAATTACATACATATTATGTATTATACATTTGCATGTGAATACGCAGACAGACAGTGTATATACTTCTCCAAATTCCAAGCTGTCCTTGGATGCTGAGTTTGATACAGTTTCGGAGAGTATTGTATTTTAAACGGTCTTGTGAATCAATTGTATATTGTTGAGGATGCTTGAGGCAAAGTGGTCTGGCCGATAGCAATGTCCAAAACCATGAAAGGCCCATCTTTGAAAAAGGATGAAAAAGGGATATTACTAAAATGCTTGACGTCGCACTAGATTCATGCTTACAATATCTTGCAATCTTGCAATTGCGTGCAATCGTACAAGATGCACAAGTGGGCCACAAGACTTGATGTCACTTGGTGCTACAGCAGGCCACCAACTTTTCAGGAGTTTTAAGGCTGGCTTCTCCCAATCCATTAGAGCAAAGCGCCTGTCCCTCAGCACCAGCACGCCCTGTGCGTCCCACTCGATGCGTGTGCCTCAAGCCAGCAAATCATATCAGATCCATCGGGCACATTGGAATCTGCTGCACTCGCTTGAATGAAATGCTTCCTCTGGCTTCATGGCAGCAGTGACTCTGGATTCAGTTGAAATATGTTGAAATGATCCAAATTGCATCCACAACCTCCGAGATGTAAAATGCGCAAGACTTATCAAGAGTCGCAGAACTAAATGATGTGCAACCAAATGCTAATCAGTACCGTCGCACTAGAATCACTAGAACCTGCGTTGCCGATGTTTTGCCGTCTAGCATGCCTGCAGTCCGGCAACAGCTGGGGGCCGCTGCGTCTCGATGTCACGAGCGGCATCATAAGACACCACGGTGAAGATGCTGGGCAGGTCAAGACCTGCGAAATGAATACGTTGCTAGGCAAAGATGGCAAAGACTGGGTTCTTTAATGTTCTTTATCTTTCTTCGTCTCACAGAGTCATCATAATGTCATAGAAGCCTTGAAAAAGATACAAAGCTTTCAGAAACAGGTACATTAGCTTCCTATATTATGTTGTTTGGGCATGAATTTGTGCGATTGAATCAGAAGAAGTGGAAAGAGATGGACTGAATGAGTCGAAAGGATTCGAAAGAAAGGACTGAAACATCTCGGAAAGAAAGCGAAAGGACTAAAGATGACGGAAGGATATTGACATTAAAGGATAAAAAAAGGACGTTATCGGACCATCGGATTTGGGAAATCTCGCATTGGAGAGAAATTTGCGGAAAAAATTTAATAAGCGCCTCTAATATCCTCTAATCACTCTGTTTGTAGCAACTGAGTCCACCAATGAGTCTACCATAATTAGAAGTTCCATCATGTTGAATCATGTATAGTTATATAGTTATGCCAGGTTGTTGTGGAGGAATGGAGGCGACCGGAGGTCCTTATGCGGAAGTGCACAAATCCAATGGGTCGGACAGCGATCCAGTCCCTTTCATTCATCCCCTCCTCTGCCCCGCCGCTTCACCATGTTGCCTCTTGCCGCCACATCGGTTGCGATGAGTACATCCACCACTCCTAGGCTTTGAAGCAACACCAACATCAGCAACACGCCAATGCAATTCCACGCACTTCCACGGCAATCGCTTAGAGATACAAGATGATACAAGATGATACAAGTAGTTTGCGTATCCGGTTTGGCAACGCTTCTCTGATGAGGGTCCTCCTCAGCCTCACTATGACCAATTCACCAGAGCACCACTCTGCAAATTTCCGTCCCTGATATACACGCGCAGCAAGTGTGCCGTAACGTGTCAGGTGGGTGTGCCAACTAAGCAAGTGTGCCGTAACGTGTCAGGTGGGTGTGCCAACTATTGTATTACGTTGGATCCCCGAGCCATTTTTTGCAAATCCGGAGTTCATCCTCTGAAAGCAGCCCGCAAAAACTGGAGGAAGCAAACCTTGCAAAGCAGCGGTGAATCCTAGCAGTGGTAAATCCTAAGGGACACAGTACAATAGGAATTGTTCTCTGGGAACAGTAAAGTACCATATGATCATAGTGTATATATATATATACGTATATATATATATATATGCTATGTTGCAAAGGGGGTCCTTGTTCGACCACGCCCAGCTGCTGTTTTTCCAACCTGCAGCCGTGCCTTCTGATCAAATTGGCTGTCCCAGCCAGTGAAAAAGGGACTCAGAAGGCTGCTTAGCAACTGACTTGAAGTCCTATCGTCGGACGAGGGGGTGGGATGGTGGGAGCCGAGAACTCACGGCGGGACCCCCACTTCACCCGCATATACTCCCCGTTACCGAGAAGGACATATGCTATGTTGCAAAGGGGGTCCTTGTTCGACCACGCCCAGCTGCTGTTTTTCCAACCTGCAGCCGTGCCTTCTGATCAAATTGGCTGTCCCAGCCAGTGAAAAAGGGACTCAGAAGGCTGCTTAGCAACTGACTTGAAGTCCTATCGTCGGACCTCCCTTCCACGCGTCCCCACCTGGCTCACTGAACGGAATTGAGCTGTGGCACGTTGAATCTTTGGGTGGGAGGCTGTGGGAAGCGTCAGGGTCATCAAGGCCTGAAGGCCTGTATCAAGATAGACCCGAGCTGTGGCCACATGTTGCCACCGCCCTTTTGTGACGAGCTGATCCAAGCTGGATCCAGCCCGATAAGCGCTGGAAGCGCCTCCTCGTCTCAAGCTGTAAGGATAGAAGTTGCAGTGTTGTAGCTTGAGGGCATCCACTAAGGAGTGCCAAAGGGACATAAATTTTTGCCGCGAGGCCGGCCATAACAGATCCCCAGGCTGCTTGTTGTGAAGTAGGGCTCGGAAGGCTTGGAAGGTGATTTGCTCAGCCAACTCGACCCTTTCAAGTGGCAAAAAGAGGCGTTTACCGCCCTTCGAGGGAGGCAAGTATAGGACTCCCGATTTCGTTCCCAAAACCACATCCTGTGCCTTGATTTGTAGTAGCTCCCCTGTACGGAGAAACAGAGTGAACCCGACGACAAGCAGCCACCCGAGTTCAAACTGTTGCCAGCAGAAAGCTTGCCCAGCAAAAGCCATTAGCAGCTCTGGGGTTAAGGGAGTAGCCCGTTGTGGTACCTCCAATTGATTCCATACCTTCACCAGTTTCCATGACCACGTTAAATGGTGCTTGGTCTCAGGCCTGAAAAACTGAATGGCGGCTACCACATAGTTCGCGCTTGATTTCGGGGAGCCTTCCTCCCACAAATGCTCCACATATTCCGAAACCATATCATCAAAAACTGGCAGCGGTGGTAAGGAGAAATTCCTTCCTAGGTTGTGAAACGCCCTGAATTCGGTGAAACAAAGTTGGTATCTTTCCTCTGTCTTTTGCCGCACCACCTGATGTCTTAATTTGCCGATCTGTTTTCTTTGTCGCTTTCTCTCCTCCTTTGTAAGTCCCGCGGCAATTGCCAATCGCTTAGGGCTCATACTCTCTGCTGGGTCCGTCAGCCGGGTCCTTGGCACTTTCGACGTAGGCCAACAAAGGCCATACGCCTCCGGCCACCTGCAACGCGGCGAACTTCCGCAGGAGTCGATTCAGCGACTTCGAACTTGATCGGCCTTTGGTGGCCACAGCTAAGGCCACTTGGGAGTCTGTCAAATGCAGGGCTCGGCAATCTCCGAAGGCCTGACTTCGCAGCCTCCACTCGAAAGTGTGCACCAGGGCTCGCAACTCCAGCACATTGATGTGGTCTCCTTCTTGAAACGGGAAGGAGTGCGACCGGTGCCAAATCCACCGGTGCGGCTCGATTGACCCTCTGGGATAGGAGTCCGGCCGGTATCAAGCGCTGATGTCCAATCGGACGTCGGATCCCCTGAACTCTTGCCTACGGACGTAGGCTGATACCAACAGACTGCTCAGTCTCTTTTCATCATGCAATTCATCAGCCAGCAACTTTGCGCTCTGGCTCCTTTTCTCCATCTCCTCTGACTTCAGCGCTCCCGCCACGCTGACACTGTCATCATCTCTCGCCAGCAGGCTCGTCAGCTCACTGTCCTCCACCAGTGGGGGCTCAGTGGCTGGAACCTTTGTGGCCTGATTGGCCATGGAGAGCTGGCATATTTCCTCGGGGCCCTTCCTGCTCTTCAAGCCCATTGTGGCCAACACATGGTCCAACAAACAAGCCACGCTGTTGGTGTGAAACGAATTCCCCAGCGCCGAGCACTGCAAGTCTTGGGCCGCCTGTTTCTCCTCGGCACTCTCAGGTGGCTTTTTCAAAAGCCTCGCAGTGTGACCTGGCTGATAACCCATCAGCACCTCCCGTTCTTCCGCTGTCAAGGGGCGCAAGACACAGTCCCGGGTCAACACCATGTATTCATCCTTATAGGTGTAGGGAGGATACCGAAACCGGTCACTCTCCCATCGTGCCTGGCCAGCCGGCCCTGTGCCACTCAACCCAGCCGGGTCTGGTGGCGGCCTTGACCGCGGGATGGCCCTGGTGAACGTGGGGAACCTGGCTTTGTCATTGCGCAGCCCTGCTTCCCACTCGCACCCATCTTCCAAAAACAGCGCCAACGGCTCCGGTGTGGCGCGGTACACCAACTGGGTGTAGCTTTGATGCTCAACGGTTTCCACCTCCTCTACGAACCCAGGTTCGGGCGACACCCAGAATAATCGCGGCCTCCTGGCGCGAGACAGGTACTGTGCGTCCACCATGTAGGGTTTCATTTTCAGTTCCTTTGACATGTCCCTGATGTCTCTTTCATCTGCGATAACGTTTTCCAAGAGCTTCAGTACCCACAGGTTTTTCTCTGCGGCCACTTCTTCAACTTCTCTGAAGATCCTACTGGCTTCGAAGAACAACTTCGATCTTTCATCTGCCAGGTGCTGTCGTTTGCTGGATAAGCGGGAGAGTCCCTGACAAGGGCTCCCTCCCCCTACCACAATTCCTGTAGGTTCCGGCACTTTTCGCAGCAGCTCATTGATCTCCTTTTTGCCGAATTTCTCCACCAAGCTGTAGAAATTGGCCCCGGGATATGTACGCCGAAGGAGGCGTCTGCAGTCAGGATCTTTTTCTATGATGCCCAGGTGTTTCCAATGAACTACCGCCTTTTCAAGGGAAGCAGTCAGTCCACCCAGGCCAGCAAACATGTCGATGATCAGGATGTTCTCAGATTCCCCGATTCTTGTCGGGTCATCCTTTTTCGGGCCCTCCGGTAAGCTGCCACTCTCCAGTAGCTCCTTCACTTCTTCCTCTCCAGCCCTGGTCAGGCGGGACGCATAGCAGACCCCCGCGCCAGTTTCGCAGGCGTCACTTGCCGTCACCACCGGGTCAACCTTGGCCTTCAGGTCACATTGAGTGAGGGGCAACAACACCTCCAAAACAAACATCTCACCTCGCATTTCCTCTGTGATGGGGCATACTGCTGGCCCGTGTGCAATGGCCCTGAACAGGGCCTCCAAGCAGGCAAAGAGGCACCGGCGGAACTGCAAGATGTGCACGGCCTTCCCTGCATACACTTGCAGGGCTTTCCGGGGCACTCGCCCCTGTTGTCTGATCCAGCTTCCCAGGGACACCAAGTCCAGACATCTTTTTGTGGTTGTTCGCAGGATTCCTCTCTTGCCGTCAATGAGAGCCCCCAGGCGCTCAGCACGTTTGCATCGCACCAGTGCTTTCTGGGTATTGGTGGGAATCCCCCACCATTCATATGCTTTGCGCAACTGCTCCTGCTCCGCTGGTGGCTTTCCCTCCAGGTCTGCCGCTGCCTTCGCCGACACCCTCTCCAAGATCGTGGTGTCATCGAGGTAGATGGACCATCCTGCTTCCTCCTCCAGGCTTGGGAAAACTGCTGTCCGGGAAATCTCGGCCAGTCTGGACAAGCCTGCCGCGCCTCTCAAAGGAGAGCCCAGGGCCAATCGCCGGTGAGCGGCTTGCATTATCCCCACCGAGCTGTGCCAGCCCATCGGCAACACTGCTAAGCCAACGAAGCTCCACTCCTCTTCTGGCCGTCCTACAAGGCGACCTGGTATGGGCTTTGCCAGTGTCATGAAAGGGGCCCAAGCTGGCGGCATGGCAAACAGATAGAAAGCGGACACCAAGTCCTCCCCACTCACTAACAACTCTTCACCTTCACCGACCACCACACGCTGGAAGCTGGAAGCTCCCGTAAGCGTCTGTGTGTCTCCTTCCAATTGGTGAAGCAGCCAGTTCGACGCCCTGAGGTCGACGATGAGCCGCAAAACAGCCTCTCCAGATGCCAGCTTCTTGTCGGCTTTGGGCACCCCGAAAACTCCGTTCAGGACGTGTTCATTTTCCACCACCACAAATTGGTCGACGGGCTTGACCAAGCCTCGTTGATAAAGAGCTTCTGCCACGAGATCCCATTCCGAATCCTCACACATGACTCTGGGCTTCGGCATGGCTTCCGGCCAACTTTCCCTAATGAGCCTCTCTGGGTGTCTCAGGGTTTCAGCCATGTCGGGGGGCACCAACTCCAAGATATCCACCAACCCCCCATGTTCTGGGCTGGGCAATCCAGGCAGGATCTGCCGCAGCGTCACCCATTGCGCTTTTTCAACCACCTCACCAGTGTAGGTGACATTCATCTCACCAATCTCATGCTCCCACTCATGGAGTGGTGTACGTGGGACACCTACTCTTTCCTTGTCGTCGAAAAATACCTTTACCATCTCCCATATTCTTCCAAGGGCCTTTTCTTGTGCTACCGTGGCTTGGGACCCGGGCCATGGAGGACGGCTCTTTTCACGATCGCCGTACAGGAAATTTAGCCCCAAGACCGCTAAAGCGTGCCACGTCTTCAGACCCTCTAGCCTGAGGGCCTTTTGAGCCTTGCTTCGAGTGTCTCCTCGCTCGCGCCACTGCCCGGCGCGGTCTTTATACTCCCCTGCTGTCAAAACCATCTTCAACTGCTCCACATCGTCGTGCCACAAAGGAAGGGGGAAGAGGTTCCGCACTCTTTCTTCCCTGTGCTCCGGGGCTTGCAGGTTCCATTCCATTAACCGCTGCAAGGGACTAGGGGAGTGCCAAATCTGGAGCGCCAAATGGGACGCCAGTTGAGCCGCTGACAGCCCGCTGTACTCATGCTCCCGCAGCCATGATCGCAATAGGCCACTCACCTGTTCTTCCAGCTCATTGCTCTCGGTGCTAGGCTGCGGGAAAGACCCTGATGAGGGCTCTTTCTTCAACCGGACTTCCCGGCCCTCTTCCGTGGGTTCTTTGTCCAAGGCTTTCCTTTTCCTTTCTTCCCCTTCCAAGGGGGTTTGCCCTTTCCCTTGCCTTTCGGGGCGGTCGCTTTGGCGTCCCCTCCTTCTGCTGTCACGCTCCGGACGGGCGAGGTGTCTCTCCCTCGTTCCTCTGTCTTCTCTTTCTTCTCCGCTTCTGTCTTCCCTGCCTCCCCTGGAGGGGCTGGCAGGGTGGCGCGCAGGGCGCTCTTTCGAATCTCTCCTTCTTCGCGATCTTGCCTTGCTCTCAGGTCTACAAACTTCACCTTGGGATTCCTCTCGGAACCTCCCCTTGCGGGGGCGGGGAGATGGTGTTCCCCTGCGGCCCTGGCGGGGCTCCGACTGTGGCTCACGGGCCTCCCCTCCCAGGGGGCTGACCCGCTGCCGGCCTCCTATTTGCTGTTCTTTCCACTCTTGCTGATCGCTTCTTTGAGCTTCAGCTGCCTCACCTCGGCCTTGGTCGCCATCTCCCTTTCTTCCTCGCGAGACAGCATGGCTCCTGCTGCGAGGATCAGCTCGTAGTGGCGAGCTAGACTCCAGTGACCGTCTTGTATGGACACTTCCACCGCCTTGAACCTTTGCATCAAGACGTCGAGGCAATGCAGTGTTCTGCTGGCCAACAGTTCGTCTAACGCGGTTGCGAGCGTGACCAGCTCCCGATGGGCTCTGACTCCGATCTTCGCCGGCGGGGCGGCTGTGAGGACGATCTGGTTCAAGTAGGCGAGAACCTTCTGATTCTCCCAGGCGCTCGCCTCCAGCCCTCTTTCGGCTTGGCCCGCTAAATAGCGGCTCATTCTTTTCAGGGCCATCTCGGTCAACCGTCCGGGCTTCTTTTGGGACAGGCGCCACAGGTCGCCTCCCCGGACTGAGGACGGCCGAAAAAGTGACCCTGAACTGGTCGCGCTTGACGACCTTGAGGAACTCCCCGAACTGGGGCTGTCCCTCCTTCTTCTTCCTTTGTCGCCCTTCCGCTTTTTCTTTTTCTTTCTCCTTTCCTTTTCATCAGCCTCCTTGTCTTGTTCTTCAGCTTTCTTCTTTTCCTGATCGGCAATCTTATCTGCCAAATGCCTGCGTCTCCCCCGGCTCCGGGATCTACGTCGATCCTTCTTTTCAGCCTCCCGTGGTCGGGGGGCATCTTCTTGGCTGCCTCGGGCTCCCCCATCCCCAAGTGGGGCTTGGGGTGCTGCCAGGGCTGCGTCCAGGCCCGTGGCACCTGGGTAAACTGGCGCCTTCGCCTTGGCGCGCTCTTCAATGGCCGCCCTTCCCAGGGCCACTCCTTGCGACTTGAGGTATCCTTGATCCACCATCACCTGAGGGGTGAGTAGCCTCCACCTGTCAACATGGATCAGAATCCTCTTGTCTCCTCGCGGCAGCCTTCTTCGGCACGATTTTGCGCTGCCCTGACACACGTGATAAACAGCGCCTTTTGAGAGCTCATTCTGGGCGTACCAATCATAGTAAGCATCTGAGCTCTGCCCGTGCTTGGCCCCAAACAGACCATCGCTGGTATCCTCCCACTGCTGAAGCTCCAGGACACCACGTCCCTGATTGTTGCCATGGTCGTCATAGCAGTGGTATTCAATCAGCCTCCCCGTCTCAAACAGGTCCCGGGCTATCTCCAAGGCCTGCCTTCCCGCGTCGTTGGCGATGCACCAATTGCACTCGCTCAGAGGGCGATCAAAGCGTAGGCATGAGCCTACCTCTTCAACACTCAGGCCAAGCTGCCGCCCTATCTGCAGCAGCTCATCCATCTCCCACAAGGAGAGGACCAGGTGGCACCACCACCTGGGAGCACCCTCAGGGCGCTCCTCTGAGTGTTGGCCTCCCTCAGGGAGGAAGCTGACCCACCCTCTCTCTGACGGGCAGCCCTCTTCTAATTTTTCTGTCCTTTCTCTCTCCTCCTTCTTTAGAGGGAAGAGCACCTACCCGAGTTGGGCCTGATGCTCTCCCCCCCTAGCCAGCCTTAACCCTCACGGGTCTAGGCTGCTTCTACGGCCACCTCTGGCCAAACACCAGGCACAACCCGAGAGGGGTCTGTGCCTGCCGTTCGACCCTTGCTGTGAGCCGAGAACTCACGGCGGGACCCCCACTTCACCCGCATATACTCCCCGTTACCGAGAAGGACATATATCATTATATATCAATATATCTCATACTATGTATGTGTGTTTTTCATTCTGGTCGGGTAAGGACTTCTCACATCCTTTTGTCAAGCATCTCTTCTTCACATTCTTGAGGATCCGCATACGTTCGCCTGGCGCAAGGTGAAAAGAAGGACATTGAAATATCAGGTCATGCTGTAGATGCATACCTTCACTGCCTTCACTCACGAGTTGTTTGTCGAATTGTGTTAAGATAGGTTAAGTATGGTTAAGTAGTGTCATAGAGTCATAGCATGTCATAGCCCTTTGTTCCGTGCATCAAGAAGCGGATTGATCTTGAGACCTTGATCAAGATCTCCGTGCAGGAACTCCGTCTTCTTGCCAAGAAAGTCTTGAAAGTTCTGCGAAAGCCTCAGGGATTCCATAAACCCAAAGTACCCCAAAGCAAATTCTAAGGATTCCAATCGCATCCAATCGCATGTTTAGCGAATCCACAGAATGTCTTCAGTCTTCAGTGACTTTGTCAAACTAGTCTACCTTAATGAAGCAGGCAAGCGCCCATCCAGCCAAATCAAGGCTTCCCTGGTCACCTTCTCAAATCCCGTTCATCGTGAATCGTACATCCAAAAGAGCTGGGTGCTATTGGATATTTCTCTTTGGTTGCTTGAAAGACTTATATAATATAATCCTATTATAGCCTTTCTAAACCGTATTTTACCGTTGAATGCGACATTCAGCAGTTCTGCCTTGCAAGGATCGATTGTGGCCATACCGGAGCCCGGTAAGCCGCTGTGGGTACTGAGAAAGAAACTCTTCCGCGCTGTGGATCGACTTCACGAAGACCAACAACTGCCGTTGCTTCCACGTGCCACGTGACACATCGATCATGTCATTAAAGATATTAAAGTCATTTAAAGTCTTGTAATTGAAGTTGTCATGTCTTATCATGTCTTATCTATAAAATTAGGTTGAAGATTGGTTGAAGTGCTTCTCTCTGGGCCCTTTCTAGTCCGTTACCAAAGAAGTCTTGTCGCAAGTTGGCTCAACATGTTAACATGTCGTTCAATGTTGCATTATTTTGCATTCATGTTGCATTCATTTTGCATTCATGTTGCATTCATGTTGCATTCATGTTGCATTCACTTTGCATTCATGTTGCATTCATGTTGCATTCATTTTGCATTCATGTTGCATTCATGTTGCTTTCATTTTGCATTCATTTTGCATTCATTTTGCATTCATTTTGCATTCATGTTGCATTCATTTTGCATTCATTTTGCATTCATTTTGCATTTATGTTGCATTCATTTTGCATTCATGTTGCATTCATGTTGCATTCATTTTGCATTCATTTTGCATTCATTTTGCATTCATGTTGCATTCATTTTGAATTCATGTTGCATTCATGTTGCATTCATTTTGCATTCATTTTGCATTCATGTTGCATTCATGTTGCATTCATTTTGCATTATGTTGCATTCATTTTGCATTCATTTTGCATTCATTTTGCATTCATTTTGCATTCATTTTGCATTCATTTTGCATTCATTTTGCATTCATTTTGCCTTCATTTTGCATTCATGTTGCCTTCATTTTGCATTCATGTTGCATTCATGTTGCATTCATTTTGCATTCATTTTGCATTCATGTTGCATTCATTTTGCATTCATGTTGCATTCATGTTGCTTTCATTTTGCATTCATTTTGCATTCATTTTGCATTCATGTTGCATTCATGTTGCATTCATTTTGCATTCATGTTGCATTCATTTTGCATTCATGTTGCATTCATTGTGCATTCATTTTGCATTCGTTTTGCATTCATTGTGCATTCATTTTGCATTCATGCTGCATTCATGCTGCATTCATTTTGCATTCATGTTGCATTCATGTTGCATTCATGTTGCATTCATTTTGCATTCATTTTGCATTCATGTTGCATTCATTTTGCATTCATGTTGCATTCATTTTGCCTTCATTTTGCATTCATGTTGCATTCATTTTGCATTCATTTCGCATTCATTTTGCATTCATGTTGCATTCATGTTTCATGTTTCTGTTCACTTTTGAGATTCGCAGCCCCGTCATTTTGCGTCCGGCAAGTGGCCTGGCCCCGTTGAAGCATAGTGTCAACTCGCTTGGACAACCATGCCTTGGAGCCCATCAGCATTTTAGAGCCAAGTTGGCGCAACGGGGCCCGAACATGTGTGAACACGTGTGAACATGTGTGAACGAGGTGATGAATGATCTGTTGTATATGGCTAGCCATAATTAGCCATATCTGCAGAAATCTGCTGTTTCATGATGTGTTATGCTGTTTCATTGTTTCATCGTCCACTCTGATCTTAAATCCCCTAATCTCCCAACCAGCAAACCTAGAAATGTTCAGAGGAACTGCCAAGACTAAAAACCCCTGTGGTGCTGGATGGTTCGCTAGTGCAAGATAGGGGAAGGCACTTTGCAGCACTCATCTTCTGAAGAATAGTTGATGTCCAAAGATGTCTAAGGTCTATAAGTCTGTGGCTACTATGCTTCTTGGAATCACTGCAGTAGTGTTCAGTTGAAAGATGGTGTAAATTTGGAATGCTGGGCCCGGCAGGGCCCGCATCGTAGGGTACGACGGCAAAAGACTGTAAGACGCGGGAACACAAACTTTAGACACATCTGTACACATCTGTCGATCTCTTGTAAGATCTGTTAACTTGTGTCAAGTATGGTGGCATGGAAGAGTGTTGTTGCTGTTGGAACGCTGTTTGGGCTTCACTGTCTCCGGATATGTGGTCCTCTCTCTCAGATCATGGCCCACTTCTCATCGTCTGTCTTCAGCACTTCAACGAACTGCTGCACATTGGCAGCGGCCTTGAAGATGTGAAATGACACAACAAACTATCAACAAACTATCAACATCTTTCAACAGTATCAAAATCTGGGATTCCTCATGTTCTCTTCTTTCGATCATAAATTGACATTTAAGACTCCCTGAGACCTTGTGGTGGAGACACATATGTGACTCCAGCTGCTGGATATTTTGAGCGCAATCATCACGGGTACCTCTTTCGCTTGCGGTCTTTGCAAGTACGAATTTCTGAAGTTTCTGAAGGACAATTCAGGGCGATTAAGGCCTTATTGTTAGTATTTCTCGAACGGATTCAACCAATCAAAATAAGTACCTGCAACAGTTTGCTCATACAATCGGAATGGGTCAATCAGAGGTCAGTCATCACTTTGTTTCAAGAGGGCTGAAACTTTCAGAAACTAACTCCCAGAACGCTTTGGCAACACAGAGCCCGAGTGAGTCCTGTCCAGCTTCGCCAATCGTGATTCGCACTGGCTGCTGAAGAAGATCGCCTGGCTATGCCCGTGGGTACACTCATGTCCTTTGCCTTTTAAATCCTCCTTGCTTGGGCGGAACTGGAAAAAATGGACATGTTCTCTCACACGTATATCATAATAGAATATACAGTATACAATTAACTTATGTGAATACTACATTTAAATATACGGACTTTTAAATATACGAACAGGTATTCTAGACTACCTCCGGGAAGGTTTTCCTTGGCCCGCCCGGCCATTTAAACATACGGAATCCAATTCATTTAAACATACGGTAACTACATTTAAATATACGAATTGGTATTTCATACTACCTCCGGACCTCCGGGGCCTCACGGTCTGGCCCTTCCTCCACATATTTAAGTGTCATTACCGGTTTGTCACATATCTCACATCGAATGTGACAGCATGTGACAGGCTGTGATATCTGTGATAGGTGATAAGCAAAACAACCTTGGCTGCCAAAGAATGCAAGGAACATCCGCCGTAGTGAGCATCAGAGCCCGGTGCTGGAAAGAGAGTTTAAGGATGGGAGTAAAACATGCCACAGGGACGGGCCAGCTTCTCAATCTTTGGCCTTAAATTTGTGTAAAAGCACGTGACAACTGGATGCCCAAAGAATTGAACAGAGGCAATCAGCCCCCTAAGTAATCTGCCACCTTCATTAAGGAGAGAAACTTCTGTTTTCAAGCTTTAAACCCATTTGCAGGAGGTAGTAGCGATGGAGCATCTCGCAACACTTCTTTGACTTGCACCTGTGGGCGAGCAACATCTAGCTTCAGGTGAAACCCGTTGCCAAACTGAAACTTAGCACGGGTGTACATCGAGCAATACATAGAGCTGAAAGGCGGCGCGCCCTTAGGGCGGAAGAAAATCTCACTGATCATCACCTCCACAGAATACTCAGTGGAGCGCTCTGAAACCCTATGGAGTGCATTCGGGAGGCCATAGTGAGGGGTTGGGACGGTTGGGATAACCTGTACCGAACTGCTTCGGTCACAAACCGAAATGTTTGTTCTGTTTGTTCTTGTTCCGTCTTCAAACCATCGCGGAAATCTTCGATCTTTTCTGTAGTCAATTTACTAGGTGTCTAATCCCAACAGCAGAAATCTGATTGGGAGACAAGGGAGACAATTGGAAGACCACATCTGGAAGACAGGACAAGTGGAAGACAAGTGGGAGACAATTATTGGAAAACACATCTGATCTGGAAGACAATTAGGAGACCACATCTAGGAAACAACAGGGAGACAACTAGGCGACAATTGGGAGACAATTGGAAGGCATAATCTGAAACAAACTGGGACATACTGGGACACAATTGGGAGATGTGACCCACTTGTCTCCCAGTTGCCTCCTAAATGTGGTCTCCCAATTCGTCTCCTAATTGTCTCCCAGATGTAGTCTTCCAAGTGTCTTCCACTTGTCTCCCCGTTGCCTCCCAGATGTGGTGTCGCAATTGTCTTCCAACTGTCTTCCAATTGTCTTCCACTTGTCTTGCAGTTGTCTCCCAGATGGGGTCTCTCAGTTTCTTTTCCACTTGTCTCCCACTTCCACGTGTCTCCCAATTTTCTCCGTGTGTTTTCTCATTTTTAGCCGCCTTGAATTTGAAACCGTCACTGCCGTCACTGCTGTTGGGTTGCAAAGCTGGGTTGATGTGTCTGTCTACTTACCAACTTGAGACACTAAAGCTTCCCTTTAAATGTTGCACTTCCACATACAATCTTGCAGTAGCTGCTTGCCACTCCAGACTGCAAACAGCTCGGGAATGGAAAAATGTGTCCCTTCTGCTATGGCTGCGGCTGCAACACAGAACGGGGGTGGCTAGTTGCAAAGGCAGGGCAAGCTGTGGGGTCTAGACGGTCTAGTCACCCAAGTTAGCATAGGACGTACAGCACTTCATGTCTGCCTTATTCACAACTTCCTGTTTGCAATCTGCTGCATGTTCGGAGCATTTCTCTGTACAGCGGTCTCATGCTGCACTTCTGCTCATGGGGCAAGCAAATTTGCTGGGGTCCAAGTAGTTTGCCACTGCTGTGGTAAGCAAGTGTTCCTTAGCAGCGTCAAGACATGCTATGACAATTGTTTCGTATGTTTCACACTGAGTCATAGAGTCATACTGTGTGATGCTGCTGCAGCAGACTCACACAGGTTCTGGTGCGACAAGACTATATAGTCTGCATGATTCTGACTGTATCTGAATGTGGGCAAAGATTGGAAAAGGATGGAATAGGCATGTTGTCTGAAGATGTTTGAAGCACGCCCCGATTGTTCAGCACTTTGAAAATTTTAGGGCTTCACATGTCTGTCTTCAATAGTCCCTTGGTGGCCAAAGTTTAGATGCGCTGTCATGAAGCAAAGTCCTTGGAATAGCCAAAAACTTGATCACCAAAAACGAATTGACATGATAGGCCCTGATAGGCGATGCAGATTCACTTGCAAAATCAACCCAGGTCTTGACCAAGCTGCTGGAAGCTCTTCTGGCTCCTTCATTTGTGGAAGCAAGACACTTGTCCAGGAAGTGCGCAAGTACAAGATTCAACCTTTCCAGTAAATATGGATAAGTACAGTCTAGGCATACATCTATCATATCTACGACATGTCTAGGCCCTAGGCATACATCCAAGTTTTCTAGCTTGGGATTGGAAGGGTGAAGACCAGGTCGCGATTTCGAATGGCTTGTCTCCTTGGCTTCAAGCAACAAGGCGCACGAGAGGACTGCTCGCTTCATGGACTTCAGCACGACGCCTAGAGAGGAGAAGACACAATTTCATAAGACAACATAAATGACACAGGTTGTCGCATGTTGTCGCATGTTCTCACATGTTTTCGCATGTTGTGGTGGTTGTGCCGGTTGGGGTTGCAGGTGCGATGTTTGGAATCGATGATTGCGGACAGCAAACAGCACTGTCTGAATAGTTTTGTAATGTTTTGTATAGGTTTTGTATGGGTTTGTTCCCTCTCAAGCTAAGGAAGTGACGCAGGGAAGAGTCAAAGCACATTTTTCTTTGATTGCTCTCTTTTCCAAACAGGAAGGGCACATGTCTACTGCCTGCTGCCAAGGCGACTGGAATTTCCAGTCATCATCCAAGACACCCACAGTTGCACCAGTGGCACGCTGAAATGCAACTTCCAAATATTGCGACGTCTGGTGGAAGTCACAACCCAACAGTTTGCAGATCCTTGGGAGGCGAAATGCCGCAACACCTGAAGCTAAGAGATCTGACAGCCCTTGTCTGATGTCTAAGCCAAAAGCAACGTTGTTTTTGAGCAAGGCATTCATATGCTGTGATTGGAATGTCCAAACAAGAATTACGGTGGTAGAGCAGTCCTTTGCTCTTTAAACTGAAGCAGTACTACTGACTCTGACAGTACAACTTTACACCGCGCATGTCTTTCCATGTTTGCATTTCGAGATTCTCCCCCAGTCAGCCGGTCTGTTGTTCATCCATGTCCAACCTTGTCCAAAATTTGTCCAAGCATCAGCATGGGTTTCTTGATGAAAGCTTTCTTCACCAACCACGGACCATCTTCCACCGCCAAGATGAGCTTAAACCGCTCACGCCCTTGAAAAAGAGCGACTAGATTCTCTGTGCATATCAACGTCAACGAAAGCACACAAGCAGTTGCAGAATGTTTGGCTTACAGTAAATACTTGCATTGATAGCTCTGCTTATCCAAGCATTGTCGGCATGAAATGGTGAGAACAAGAAGTCAGTTCCTTGATAGATTTGATAGGCCAAACATGGCCAACCACTCAAGTGGTGGTGAGAATCATGAAGGTGGAGGACTTCATGCGACGATGCCTATGCTGTTGAAGCCATTGGGTGAAGCAAGAAAATAAGAAAAGGGGAACCGGAATCCCAACCAAGTACTGTGTTTCGCCATATACAAACAAAGTCCACATGCACCACCGTTGCCACTATTATACCACCGGGAACCACTGTGTAAAAAAAATACGAATCCTACCTCCGTACACCGATGCCAGGAGACTTTCTATTCTCAACTACAGTACTTCTCAGCCACCATCAGACGTGACATGTGAATAAACAGGAAGAGTGTGGCATGCAAAGCACCTAGCTGTGTTGCAGCCTGTCAAATAAGCAACATTGTACAAAAAGTAAGTGCTGCTGCACTTCAATTTATGTAGTTGCAAATGTATTTCAAGATGTAAAGAGTTAAACACGTTTTCATCTTTTCATGCTCTCATCCATGCCTTCCTATGAGCCAAGCTGCTGCTGTCGTCATCACCATGCAAGAAGTGGTTCCAAACACGGCACCTAAGTTGCTGAGTCCATCAACGGCAAACCCAAAATGAACTATATAGCAGTGTACAAATCTGTGCTTCATGTGTATAGCAGACGGAGGTATTTAGAGGTCCTGGATTTGGTTATCTTTAAAGACATATACATACGAATATATATATATACACATACATACATACATACATACATACATACATACGTATATATACCTATACCTATGAATATACATATACAGATACATATAGATATGCAGATACATATACAGATACATAATGCACAAAAGTATTGACCCCCAAACCAAGTCAGCAGCAGCGGACCTTTTTGTCTTGAGCCAAAATGGTTACCGTATGTAACATGCTAAGACTATGCACAACTGCAGATACAAACACCCCTCCTAAGCTAGTTGGGTTTACCAACGACGCTTCCTCTCAGGTGTTAGTCTTAGCAGCAACCGACACACCTTCCCGAACGTTTTGTCCGAGGGTTGTCAGGTGTCGCTGACAGACTTCTTGTCCCACAGGCTTCGTGCATAGGTCCGCAAGGTTGTCGTTTGTGTGGACCTTGCGGAGTTCGATCTCACGTTGATGCAGCTGTTGTTGCACCCACAAGTACCGAGTCTGAATGTGGCGCGTCTTGCCACTCAATCCTCGTCGATTGCACATTCCACGTGCTGCCGAGGAGTCTGAGAACACCGTGCAGGTCAGTGGTATTCTCCATTCATTGTAGAGAGCACGCATCCCCAGCACGCACGCTGACGCCTTGACGATGGCGTAGAACTCGCTCTCGCCACTGCTCAATGCAATGGTACTCTGAGCAGTGCTACTAGCTTTCAGGCAATGGCCTCCCGCCATCACCACCAGCCCGGACGTGCTTTTGCGGGTAAAAAGGCACCCCGCATGGTCGCTGTCCGTGTAGACCGCCAAGGTGTTGTACATCTCTTGAGGCTTGAAGGTCTGCACCACTCTTGGTGCTCCTTTCAGATACCTTCCCAACCTCTTCAGTTTCGACCAACTGTGCTCAGTTGGCTTGGCCATGAAACGCGCCAGCGTTTTCACACTTTCACAGATGTCAGCTCGATCCTGTGACAAGTACGCGCATCGCATCACAATCGATCTGTAGGCACTTTGTTGCTCTGGTGGCAGCACTGGCAAGTCCAATGCTTCCAACACCTCTTTCGAGGTCATCTTCTCCGCTGGTGTAGACACCGGCTTGGAGTTTTCCAGACCCAGCTGCTTGACCACTTGCGCACAATGGCGCGGGTCAGGCTCATACTGCAGCTCGCCGGTCTGCTTGTTGTATTCCAGGATTCTGTTGAGCACTGTCATCACAGACCCATCGTTGGGATCTGGACCGATGCACCCATCCACACGATACTCGAATCGCTTGGCAAGAACTCCTTCGATGAACTTCTGGCCCTCGTCATCAGCCAGAACCACGAAGTCGTCCCCGTGGCATAGGAACCTGGAATCGGTGGGTTCGTGGTAGAACAACGCGGGCCATGCCACGCCCGCTTCCACTCCATGCTCCTTGAGCAATTCCGTGTATGTTTCCTGCCACACGCTCGAAGCGTCTTGTGTTCCATACATGGTTCTGAGAAGCCTTGCGCACTTCCCTTCCTTTTCTCTCCCAGGAGGGAGATTGGTGAACACTGGACGGCGCGAAGCACCGTAGAAATGCGCCCGAGATATGTCCAGGATGCGCATCTTGAGTGCCCCTCCTCGAGCACTGCGCTTCTTGGATACCATCAGGCTGCAAAGCACCTTCAGTGCCTCCAGAGGTGGCATTGCACTGTACAGATCATGATCTGGAAGTGCCTGCCCTTTTCGCTTGATCTCGCGCACCACCAGACGCGACCTGTAGTTGCTATTGCCTTTGTCTCTGTCCACCCACTTCAGGGTGATGGGTGGTGCTCCTGTGGCATCCCAACACTCTTGGATGTCTGCCTCTTCGTAGATCTTCTGCTTCTCCACCCAGCCTAGCTCCTCTTCGCGGGCCTTCTTGACCTTCTGAGGATCTAGCTGCATTCCGGTGACACTGTCGTAGATCTCCTCTTGGCTGTCGTCATGATAGTCCCACATCTCTTCAGTGGGCTCGTTGCTTGCACCATCCGGACATGGTCCGGCCACCAGCTCGTTGAGAGCGGACAGCTCTCCCATGTCACGAAGTTCTTGTCTTATTCCCTTCAGGATTGCATTCACCAACCGAGGGGGATAAACTTGAGCATGTCTTGCCCTGCCGTTTATCAAGTGGACGTGGCGATGAGTTCCATCGCAGTTCCCTTCGATTGCTTCAGCCAGCCTCTTGGAGTTGGTCATCCAATTGGTCTCTTTCCTGACGAAGCCGACGCCTTGACCGTCCTCCGCTTTCATGTGCCATTTGCACATTGGTGCCGTCACGGTGTAGACGCCAGGTAGTTCTTGGATCCTCTTGATGTCCTCCTCTTGCCAGCTCTGGCTTGGCTTCGGATGTTCGTGAAGGAAGAACCTTCCGCTTTGATGCTGCTCCATATAAGCATCGGTTGCGACCTTCAGATGCTTCCGCCCTTCGGCCAAAATGGCCTGGTTTTCTTCCTCCGATCTCTTGTTCTTGCTCAGATTCTGCAGCGGACTGAACGGTCCGCAGGGAGGTGAGCCGATGAGAACCAGTGGCTTCTCATCCCTGAGCAACCTCCTCAGGACTTTCTGGTCTTGCTCAGTTGACAAGTCCCAGTACTCACCCTTGTCGTTCTTGGTCAACGACAGGTCAATGGCAAACCCGGGCCTTAGGCCGAACGCGTTTGCTCGTGAAACAAACCGTTCTGGATTGTAGATCTCTGCCACATCGCTTTTGCGGATTCCCATCGAGCATAGCAGCTGCCCGATCTCGAGGATTTCCTTCTTGGACTCCAGTCCTGGAAACATGTTTGCTTCCAGCAATGCCGAGATGTCCTCGGCTGCAGTCTGCGAACTCGACGAAGATGCGCCTCCAGAGGGACTAGAGTTGCTTCCGACCTTCACCGCCTTTTCCTCAGCGGACATCTTAACATCCGTCACTGGGCGTTTGACGCCTCTGGATTCCTCAGGTTTTGCCTTCTTCGAGATGCTCTTGGGCTCCCCTCCTTCGGCCTGTCTCTTGGCCTGAGCCGGCTGAACCAAGGGTTCAACTCGCTCTGGAGCGGGTCTCCCAACTGCATCTGGGCCGTGCACCTCTTGTTCCACATCTGGACCATCTTCCAAGGCTACATGTTCTCCGCCTTCTGCCGGAACAACTGCCTCGCTCTTGCGCTTCCGAGCCTTCTCGACTCGAAGCTTGCCTTCTTCCGTCTGCAGCAGCCTCTGTTGCACTGCCGTTCTGCACTCTGAATTGTGCGACCTTGCGGGCAATCCCGTCTGGATCGCTATGCATCCAGGACACCCAACGGTGTACTGGCCCTCTACGTCCTTCTTCGTGACATAGAGGTTCCTGGGACCACCGTCCCTCAGTGCCGGCTCCGGCGTGAGCCGTCCTTCCGCTTCTGGAAGTGCGATCCTCACAGGCAGTGAGTCCACATCTTCCGCCATTCTCGGCCTCAAGTTCCAGGGAGTACCCCGAAGCTTGTCGAAGTCCTCCATGTCCCACCTTTGTTCGATGGGGACTCTCTTGATGCTGCCTCCCTTCCAGACACCATCCACGGTCATGATCAGCACATCGCCGTTGCGCCCATGCGTTCCAACATAGCGCCCCAGCTTCAGCTGCGGCTCCATGTCGCCTTGTCCAGCGACATAGCTCTTCAAGGGCCGAAAGTAGACCTTCTCCCCGAAGCTCACCATGGGCCGCTTCCATCTCTTGCCTTTGAGCCTCTCATAGGCGGTTCGACCATCTTGACCGACTCTGTAACGCGACATCAGGAAGTTCCCGTGCCTTGCCACACAACTCCAAATTGGGTGGGTGTCATTGATCTCGGCCTTGGTCTTTTCCAAGAACGCGCTTTTCATAGCGCGGCACTGTCTCTTGCTCTCTTTGACAGCTGCCTCAGCCAACCCGTTTGATCGGCTGTCTCCAGTCTTACTCTCCTCCAGCAGCACCTCGACGCTCGATGCCGCCTGAACAGCCTCCTTGAGAGACTTCACAGCGGGCTCATTGTCACTCCTCAAAGTCACCCGCTTGTATCCACACTCGCTCAGGATCCCCACGACGAAGTTGACAGCAAAGGCGTCTGCCCCCTTTGCAGGAACCGCGCTCGACCAACTCATGCCTGAGCAGTCATCCTTCACTTGCAGATGGGGAAGTCCTTCATCTTGCTTCCCGAAGAAATAGTAGTCGACGCCCAAAGTGGGCAATGCCTTCTCTTCATGGGCCATCGCTGGATGTTTCTCCAGCATCCCTCTTGCTCGCACACAGTGACCACACCAGCTGCGGTGCACTGAGTGCCCTATCATTTCATGCTCTTCGATCTCCTCGGCAGTGGGACTTGTCGGAGCCCTCAACGCCTTCGGCTTGAGCCCTTCAACAGCCTCACCACCGTCGCCGGAGATCTCCATCTCTTCTCCTTGTTCGACCGGACTTACGGCTTCTGCGCCTGCCGGCTGAAACCTTCATCAACCGCTCCAAGATCTCGACCGACGTGGTCAAAACCTTTATCCTTAGCCGTGCCATTCAGCCAAAGATCGAAAACGTAGATTCCCTTGTGCTCGTAGAGCTCCGTGAGATCGTCAGCCTCCTTAGGATGCGCCTCAACGAGCTTCTTGAATGCTGCCCTCATGCCATTCGCGATCTTGCCCGACTTGGGCAGGATCCAGCCTTTGTCACCTTCCAGCACCACCATGTTCTTCTTTGCCACTGCGGTGCCGCTGGCCAACATCCTGTGGACGCCGACCAATCTTCCATCCACGCTCCTTCCAAACCCATTGTTGTTGAGACCCTTGACGACGACTCCACCTTCGTCTTCTAGGATCTCACCTGAAGCAGTCTTGTAGGATCTCAGCATTGACTTCGAGTCTCCTTTCACCAAGCCCTGCTCCTCCAAAGTCCTTGGCACAGCCGTGATGGCTGCCCCAGTGTCGAAGTTCACCACCAGCTTGGTCCAACCGTCACTGGTAGTGAAACTGTTCACATCTTCTTCAAACGAATTGATCTCTTGCTTCTTGCCGGTCAGCTTCTCAACCTCAGTGTTGCGGCCTTCGATGAAGTGGATCTCCCTGTCAAGCTCCGAGTGTCCCATTCTGCACTTCGCTCCCCTGTGGCAGTAGGAGCGCCGAAAGTCAGCGCACATCCTTCCGCTTTTGGGATGTTGCAGGTAGAACTCATTGTCGGGGTCCACCTTATAGGCCTTCGCTTTCCTCATCTTCGCAGCCTTGACTCTCTTAGCTCTTTGCTCCTTCTGCTCCTTGGTCATGACTCGTCGCCTCACCTTGAACAAGTTGGTGCGCTTCTTCCTCATGACCTTCATCTCATCTTCCTTCGTCTCAGTGTTGAACTTCGAGACCTCGTCCTGGGTCAGCTTTCGATATGATCGCGCAGACTTCACAAAGGTGCCTGCGTCCTTCCTCTTCAGCTGACCTCTTCTGACCGGGCGGGCATTTCCTTTCAAGACCCTGATTCCTCCATCTTCCGTTTCGACAACAGCCTCCGTTTCTATTCCTCCAAGCGTCTCGTCGTGATACTCTTCATCCTTCACCTTCTTGGTGTCAAACTCACGATGCCAGGCTTCATCCTGACGAAGACGTTCTGCAGCACGTTCTGATGCTCCAGATCGACGGTGCAAGGTGGCCTTGCGGCGCTTCTTCTCTTCGGACCAGGCCTTGGAGTGTGTGACACCCGCCTTGCGAGCGGCGTAGTACCGCGCATCGTGCCAGCTCTGATCATTCGCAGTCTCCGCCGTCAACTTAAATCCACCTTCCTTGCTCTTGAGCTCCTTGCTCCTTCGGTCGTTGTCCCTGATGGTCTCCTTCAGGATGTTCTTGCGCTCGTCGATCTCTTTGATGCGTGTCTCCAGCACCTTCATCTCGTCTTCATCCTCACAGTCTTCGAGCTCTTGGATCTTCTCTCTCTTCTCGGCATCCAAGTTGGCCACCTCGAGCATTTCAACCGTACGATGCATCCTCTGACTCGAAGCTGATCCGATGGGTCGAGATGGAACTGCAGCCTCGGCCGATCCACTGGATCGACTCGGGCCGTCCACCTCCAGGGTCGGTCGTTGACCAAAGGTCCGACTCACCCCTTCCATCAGATGCTCCGACAGCTTCTCGAAGTAGCTGACCCTCATGCCTTCTCTGGATGCCTCGAGCTGCTTGAGTGTGCTGGCATTCTCATCCCGACTTGTCCCCAAGGGATCATGCACCTGCCTCAACTCGTCCTTCTTGTCCTCGTCCAAGCTGTGGAAAGCACCCTGCGTGATGCCTTTGAACAAGCAGATGGTCTTGTCCACCAGGTAGTGAAAGCTTTCAGGACGAGTGATCTTGAGCAGGTTTCGAATTTGACTCTTGGACGATCCCGCCGACGTCGCATCTTCAACCAACTTCTTGCGATGGTTGCTGCAGACTCCACACTCATGAATGAAGTGACGTTCATTGGGATCCACCTGACATTTCAAATGCAGGCAGCAGTCACAAGGCTCGGAGCACGACACTTCCTCCGACTTCACCATCACATAGCGCTCAGGCTCCACCCGAACATTCACATAGGTGCTGCTCGAAGTTCCCGTCGGCTCTTCAACCTCCTCAGCCTTGATCTCTTCGTCTTCACTCCATTCTTCAAGTCCGGCGATGCTCAAGTAGCCGGTTTCTGCAGTCTCGGCTTCCGGCTCGGCCTCCTCCAAGTTGCTCACTCTGCCACCTTTTCCACTCTTCTTTGACGATCCCTTGGACTTCGGTTGCTGGTTCTTGTTGGCAGCTCCACCACCAGCAGACCAGCAGTCCTTCCTCAGGTGGCCCACCTTTCCGCAGTTGTTGCAGGTCCGGGTTTCCTTGGACCCATCGCCAGGCCCTTTTCCCTTCGCTGCACCTCCTTTGCCTTTGCCCTTGGAGGAGCCCTTCTTGCCGTCACCCTTGCCGCCCTTCTTGCCCTTACCTTTGGGACCCTTGCCAAATGCCCCGATGTCCATGGGTGCCGCACCACCGGGATCCACCACTTTCATGCGGCTCCCCAGGCGAGATTCCAGAAACAGGACGACTTCGCCCCTGACGTCATCGTAAGAAGCGCATCGCGACCTGTTCATCTGTAGGTGCTTTTCCAACTCCACCGGGCATAAGTGCTCGACCACCGATATCTTTATCTCATCATCCAAAATGTGCCTGGTGCCATCACTGCGTTTCCTCGCCTCGTATAACCTCAGCTGTTCTTCCCAGGCTTCCAAGGCGGATGACAAGTCTTCGATCTTGGTGATCTTCGTGGGCGTCAAGATGTGACGCAACAGCGCACGACGTCTGCCTCCTGTCGTGGGATCGAACCTCTTGATCAGCTTTCTCCAGGCCTCACATCCGTTGTTCCGACCAGCTGAACGAACGATCGTGAACGACTCCTTCTCACAGAGGCTTTGCAGGACTGCGTAGAACTGAGTGTTCATGCCTTCGACGTTCTCGATGGTCCTGTCGGTCGGATTGACTGGGCCAAAGCTTGCAAGCAGATCTGCATTCGTGATCTCGCTGTCCTCATTCTCCGCCCAGGCCATCACCGACTCGAACTCAGGGTAGACCGAAGCGATGAACGACTCCAGCTTCGTCCTCCAGTAAAGGAAGCTCTCCTCCTTTCCATCGAACTTCTCGGGCTTTGCCAAGCCCTTCGTGTCGAAGAGGGTCACGTTCCTCTCCTCCTTCTGCTTTAACCCGTCGATGAGGTCCTTTTGGCTTTGGGCCATGGCTTGGAAGGCTTGTCCAACCACTGCTTGCAGACTTCCAGGTCCAGGGTTCTGAACTTGCTGCGTCAGCTGTTCTACTTGGGCTCTGAGTTGCTGTTCTCTCTGCTGTGCTTCCGTGCCGACTTGCACCAGCTGCTCAACCTGGGCTCTCAACTGGGCCTCACGTTGTTGACCTCCATTGACTGCCTGTCTCAACTCCAGCACGGTGTTGATGAGCTCTTGCGCATTCATCTGAGGCGCTGTTCCTGCAGGTTGCTGGGCCATTGCGTCCTAAGTCGACGCAAGAGGTTTGGATTCAAGTGGTGGTTCAAGTGATGTCCCAGGTACGCGAAGTACCTCTGTTGCCTCCTCACTCTCCGAAGCTTCCGGATCAGCCTTTCCCACCTGCTCGGAACCCTTTTCCGCCTCCTTTGGATCCACCCCAGGGTCCGGCCGATCGAAGCGATCGACGCGACCCCGATCAGGAGTGGGATCCAAGTGAGCTCAACCGCGACCGCCAAGCGAATCACCAGATCGCCAAGCAGCTCCGCTACCATGCACAAAAGTATTGACCCCCAAACCAAGTCAGCAGCAGCGGACCTTTTTGTCTTGAGCCAAAATGGTTACCGTATGTAACATGCTAAGACTATGCACAACTGCAGATACAAACACATAAACATTTACATATTCATATACATAAATATTATATAATATGTATGTATATGTATGTATTGTCATTCCACAACAACCTTGGAGAGGGCAGGTCAGGAACACACCGGGGGTTCTGTCCAAGTCGCTGAGGCGATGTCTCATCTTTGAGCCACTTAGCATCAGAATTCAGGGCCATTGTCATGACAGCCTCGCGAGCTGAGACGCAAAAACAACTGAAAATGTGATACTAAAGGTGTGCTATCACTGTGCTATCCGCTACTATCCTTTCTATACTCCTTCATGTGTTTAGGTACTGCCACATGAGGTCTTATCTTCTAGGACAGTTGGGCGTTTGCAGCCAGACCGTCGGAATCATTGACGTTGAGAGATCCGGTAAAGCCCTGCACATTAGCCTGGTGAGTTGGACGTTGCAACTCGACACTTGCTAGGTCAAGGATGGTCAAGGTTCAAACAAACCACCGGCTCCCTGAGTTTTGCAGACCGTGGCAACAAGGCACCCAGTGGCCCGATGAATTGTTCAGTTATATGAAAGGATGTATGTACAAGATTGTACAAGTACACATACCATATAGTAGATATATGCGGAGTAGGAAAATAAGTGAATGCATAGATGCTCCAATATGATACAAATTGCATACAAATACAGAATACACTTGCATACAATTGCATATTGAAGCTTGCCGAACACTGCAAGACTAGGATATCACTTGCACCTGGAAGTCACCCAAAATGAAATTGACCACCAGCAGAAACCGCTGCTCACCTTGCCCAGAATCGGCTCTTTGATTCTCTCCAGTGCCTTTTGTGAGTTCTTTGATTCTTTTAGCACTTGAATTAATTTCCAAAGAAATCGCTGAAATTTTTAGCCTGAGATAATCTTGGATACTTCGCCTCTTTCTCTTGGCCAATGCGGGACTAAGTGTCAAACCATCTTTTCTAGCACTGGCTGGGTAGAAGTCAGGATGCTTAGAGGCACATGAAACTGGCCCTTCGTCGCCTCAGGATTCGGAAATCGTGATGTCATTTTGCTGGCACATGTCTGTCTTGTTGAATCCGCGAACTTGCACAGCCTTGCACATCTTCGTGTCATCCACTTGGTTTGGGTTTGCGTGTATGTGTCTGTGTGTGTCGTTTGATTGCGATTGTGAGCGAAGAGGTTCCAGGCGCCAGGCCAACCGCAACCCAATCCTCAGCGTTGACTCAAGAGGATGCAAAAAATTGACGTAGATATCATGCACCAAACGCAAAACCGAGAACTCTTCCAGCAGCCAACAGAAACAGGCAAACTGGATTGTTCATTTTTTAAGTTTATGTGAAGCTTACTATTACATGTTGTAAGATTCATCCTCGTTTTCCTCCCTTTGTTCCAAAGTGTTTCTCACTTGCCCGCGCCCGGCCCCCTTTTCGGACTTTGAGATATGTTCTGTCTACCGGTACGCTTCGTTTTTGCCCTGCAACTCACTTTCGCCTCCCCACAGCCCAGAACCCACAAAAAGGTGTTGCGCTCAGTTTGTTTTCTGCTAACACCCTTGAACATGTCATCACCTTGCAGCACTGCACCCATCTCTGCACCCTCATAGACCACAGTTCCCTCTCAGAGCATCCTCCGATTCTAGAGCCTATTCTAGCACCCAGCAATCCCATTGCACGAAGTCAAGAAAACGATGGCTTAAGCACAACTAACAGATACAGTAAAACATATACATATACACATATATACTAACACACACACACATATATATATACATATTCAAATTTTCATATACATATATATATATATACATACATATATACATGTATACATACATTGTGAATTCTGAAATGCCTAATCACCTTCCAGTGGGTCCAGTCAGTCGTGTGTCCAGCCTTTTTGACCATGCCTGCCAAGGGTATGATGACATCTCACGATGTTTGCCGTGGGCCTTCCCACTCAAAGGCCCAAGAGGGGGTTTGCATGCGCTCAATATGCCAATAGGAGAAAGCAGCTTGGGGCGAGCGCGGTTTGCCATCGGTGTGGCCTTTTCGGTGAAGATCTGGGTGACTTAGCAACAATCTATCTCGGTTCATCGGTGTGGACATTCAAATCCTTTTGGTGGTTGCAGATCCCTACCATTGTTGGACACCAATCCATATTGGTAGCGGAGCTGTGTGCTCCTCAGGTGCTTTCTTGGAAACAGAACAATCCGGTGGTTGAACGTTCCTGGAAAACAACACCTTGGGAAATCAGTTTTCCGTGACTGTGCATCATTTTTGTGCTGCACTCCAGCTGGTGATAGCCCTGGAAAGGAGTTGACCCAGTGAGAAGTTTTTGGTGCTCCGACATGGCTGAAGGCGAAGGGATAGGAACTTCCTCGCAGTCTGCCACAGGAACAGGGACTGCCTCCCACCGTCCATGGCATCTCATTCCGTCAATTGACCCAAGTGAGACTGATTTGACCGAATACACTAGAAGGCTTGAATTCCTTGCTGGCATTTGGAAGTCAATCACATGCAAGAGGCAGATGAGGAGAGTCAACTCTATGACGATTCCAGCTATGTTTTCACTGCTGATGCTTCCAACGTTCCGGAAACCATGATTGAACAGTTGTTGGCTGAAGGTGATGAGGACGCGCTGGTTGCGCACCAATTTGAAGAGGCCTTGGTTGAATTGCAGTGCGGCCAGAAGGGACATTGGCGGGCTGAATGCCCAAAGAGGCTTCATAGCCAACCTGCATCCGGGCCTCCACAGCTACAACCGACAAATATGTTGATCTCCGCCAGTGGTGTCAATGATGATGATGATGAGGATGTCTTCGTGATGGAGCCGACCGGATCTGTCTTGTCTGATGTCTTTGTCTTGAGTTAGGACCCCGGGGTGATAAGAAAGGCTCACATTCCCATGGTTGCTTTGTGAGTTAGTCCCAGAAGAGTAACCATAAGTATAAGGGGAAATACTACAAGCAGGTTGCAAACGCTGTTCAAGTTCAAGGGTTCTGCCACCGCTCATCCATCCAGGATGACACCAAGTGAGCCTGTGAAGCCATGCGAAACCCCCTCTGAGAAAGTAGACTCCGTTGCCAGCCACCGCAAGTATGTTTTGCCCGGATCTGACCATGCCGATCAACTTCCAAAGCCTGATGTGAAACCCAGACATGTGACTGATGCTGTTCATAAACAGCCGTGTGAAACAATGTTTGCAACCGCCAAGACTTTAGGAATCTTGGATCTGGGAGCGTCTCAAACAGTGATGGGCCGACATAAGCAAGATGAATTCATGTGTGGATTGCCCGACTCCGTCAGCAGCCAAGTTTTCCAACAGCCAGTGGAGATGTCTTTTCATTTTGGGAACAATAGTGTGGTCCCTTGCAATAGAGCCATCTTTGTACCCATTGACAAATTCTGGTGGCTGGTAGTTTTGTCAAAGCAGATAGACAGAGATGTCTCACTTCCGAGTTTACTGAACTTTACACCAAGACTTTCGGAAGGCACGTCGCCAAAGCCGTGAAAGCCAGCCGTTTGACATGTGAGAATGCCCTGGGATGTCCCCTGTATACTGATGTTTCATAGCTATCATGGAGAGAAGGCCATATCCGATGATGCTGCGCCGGGTGTAAAGCGTCACCGTCTGACTGTCAAGACGACAAGTCCAACTGGATATCCGGAGTCTGCTGTGCCGAAGAATACTGATGCATGCCCTGTTGGACAAGTGCCAACCCCGACATGTTCCCACGCTGATTTGCAACAGGGGTTTTTGATGAAAGCCCTTAAGAATGCACCTCGGGTTGGAAAGGTCGTTTTGGAGCGTGGTGGGTTGTTTGAAGAAATGCAGCTGTTGTTCCCTGAATATCGAATCCGCGTCATCGAACTTTGCAGAGGGACTGATCGCTTTCGCAGACCTCCTGTTCGCCTTGTTCCTCAAGAGGCACCGTGGAGACTGTGTTTGGGTCGTTACAGACATCAGCTGCAACCTCAGCAATCGCCAACTTTATAGTAAATCCCCACCACTAAGACTTATGATCACCGTGTTTGCCCAGAAAGCCGACAACACTGCAGTTGCGGAAAAACTACATTCTGAATCCGTGCGAAGACTGATTGTCCCAGAGCAAGCTGCTGATTCATCCATCGATTCCAAGGATGATATGAAGATGGGACATGAGATGACCTAACAGAAGCCAATCACTGATGCAATCGGCAAACATGACCCCAATAATGATGATAAGACGCAGTGGTTGACACATGGTCCCAAGTTCCGCATGCTTTCCAAAGAACACCAAGGTTGGATATCGAAAATTCACCACAATTTGGGTCACCCAAATGTACAAAAGTTGCAAAATGTGCTCAAACAACAGGGGTACTCCGATGAGATAATCCAAGGCACAGCTGACTTTTGCTGCAACATATGCCATGAAACTCAAGCGGCACGAATTGCCAGACCGGCGACCTTGTCGGATGTGCGAGATTTCAATGACTGCGTTGGATGCGACCTGGTCACATGGACCTCCAAGTCTGACAAGAACCACCAGTTTTTGCATGTAGTTGACAGTGCCAGCAACTTTCAACTTGCCATGCCGCTTTTAAGAACTGATGCGGATTCCCTGTTTGAAGCATTCAAAACATTTGGGCTCAATGGGCTGGACCATGCAAACAGCTCGCGATTGACAATGCACCCGCACTGTGTTCGGAACAAGTCACACAGCTCATGCAAGGTCAGGATACTCACCTCCGCGTTGTTGCTGCATACGCTCACTGGCAGATGGGAAAATTGGGAAAGACCGAACGACATGGGGAGATAATCCAACACATGTTGAATAAGTATGATCATGATCATGACATAGATGCTGCCGAAGAATTCCAACAAGCCATTCGTAGATTGTTGTCAGGCCAAAAATGCACTTTCTAGAGTAAAGGGGTACAATCCTGAAATCTTGGTACTTGGAAAAAGCAGACCACTCCCCGGCAGTCTATGTGAAGATGCCCCAACAGCTTCTCAGTTTCTCGCGGACAGTGACACGCCTGAAGGCATTCAGTTCCGGCAGCAACTTTTGAAAGGTGAGAGTGCGAGAAAAGCCTTTGTTAAAGCTGACAATTCCAAGCGATTACGGTGAGCCTTTCTCAGGCGACAGCGTCCAGCCAGGGTTTCTACACGGGTGGTACGTTTGTGATGTTTTGGGGGCCAGCCGTGGAGAACAAGCAAGTCAGTGGCATTGGGCGCGCCAAAGTTATCATCCAAGAATCACAACATGTTGTGTGGATTTCCCATTCCAGCTGTTTATCGTGTAGCCCCAGAGTATGTGCGCAGTTTGTCCGAGAGAGAAGCAGTCCAGAACCGCCTATTGGAAAACCAAAAGTCAGATGAAAATACCAGTCCAACCAGTGGAAAAGGGGTATGAAGATCTCACTGAAAACATTCATCACGCACCACCTCCAACAATTGAATCTGAAACTATTGTCATACCAAATCCATTACCATCGCCCATTCCCAATACTTCCATGCCTGAACAGCCTGATTCCAAACCAAGTAACGTGCCTGGTGATAACGCCACCCCATCGCCTTCCAATGCCTATACACCAACCACTCCATTAAGTAATTCCCCAACTATTAACTCTAATCCTGAAGAAGCAACTGACCCGAAAGATGTTCCAGCTCCAACTGATGATGATGACGAGTTTGTAGCTGAAGATCACTGGCTAGTCCAGAAGGATAAGCTCATTCGTGTACACCAGAAGCCAAGATATGAAGCATTTGACCAAGCACGTGCTGCAACTGCCCGGTAGACATACTCTGCGTAAGTGGCGAAAGGTTCTCAACTGGCAATGCAAACCAACAGGATCTCTGGTCACATCAAGATACCTGGAATAAAAATGACAACACGTGGCAAATCGCAACCTTGGACTGGAGTGACCATTTTCCATAATAGAGATTGAGAACGCAGGACTGTACTCCCCCGACGTAGATGTATTGCATGTGGAAAATAGCCAGGGGGGTGCTTTTGAAGTTTTCTTCGCCCAAGAGGACATGGATGCGACCATCCAGGAACACAACAATTTGCCAGTTTTCAGCCAAAAGACAGAGAGCTGAGGTGGAAGTCGAAGACCAGAGCCCGGAAGAACTAAAACAGTTTCAAGGAGCCAAGGACAAAGAACCAGATCAATGGTTAGCCGAAACAATCAAAAGGTTCTGAGAAGTCAAATTCCGGAGAAAAATATCCTTCGTGCCAGATGGGTGCTCATATGGAAAGATGTAGGTCCAATCGCAAGTGCCGCTGAGGGATGCACACGAAAAGCAAAAGCTAGACTTGTCATACTTGGGTATGAAGATCCCGACATCACACCGATTCCTAGAGACTCACCAACCTTGCAAAAGGAATCTCGATCACTGTTGTTACAACTTTGTGCCTCCTGAAAATGGCAAATCCAAAGCTTTGATATCAAGACTGCATTTCTCCGAGGGTCTAGAAGAGACAATCGGCAATTGGGCCTTGAACCTCCACGTGAACTTACGACGTAGTTAAAACCGAAAGAAAACGAAATTTGCGAACTTCTGAAATCTGCCTACGGTTTGGTAAATGCACCGTATTTATGGTATCAAGAACTTCGTGAGGCGCTGTGGCAACTCAATTTCACAATCAGTCCGCTGGATCCGTGTCTTTTTGTCTTGGCTGACAAAGATGGACATGTTCATGGATTCATGGAGCCATTGGCATGCACGTGGACGATGGACTATGTGGTGGCGCCAGCACTTTTATGAAAGTTCTGAACCAACTTGAGGCGCGTTTCCCTTTTGGATCCAAGAGAATCAGTGACTTCACTTTTACAGGCATACACGTTCAGCAAGATGAAGAATACAACATTCACCTTGATCAGATGTCCTATGTTCAAAACATAGATCCAACCAAGATCGAAAGACATCGTAGAAAACAAGAACAAGAGAGTGTGAATGAAGGCGAACGTCAAGGTCTTAGAGGTCTCATTGGATCACTACAATATGCCGCGACAAATACTCGTCCAGATACTGCTGCGCGTTTGAGCTTGCTTCAATCCAAGATCAACTGTGCAAAGATAGCAGATCTACTTGATGCGAACCGATTGCTGGGAGATGCTAAGAAACATAGTGATTCTCGTATTACCATCTCAAGCATCCCAGAAGAACAAATTCGAATTGTAGCTTATTCCGATGCCTCCTTTGCCACTCGTGAAAAGCAACAAAGTCAAAAGGGGAGCCTGATCTTGGCTGCACATGAAGATGTCTTTCGCCAAAGGGTCGCAAATGCTAATCCATTGTCTTTGTCATCAAAGAAAATTGACCGCGTGGTGGCGAGCACATTGGCTTCCGAGACATTTGCCCTATCTCATACCGTAGATGTTTTGAACTGGATCCGCCTGGCCTGGGACTGGGTTCGAAATCCGTTGACACCTTGGCAGAGACCTGAAGAAGTTTGGAAATCAGCATATCCTGGCATAGCAGTTGTTGACTGCAAATCACTATACGATGTCATCACCAAAAACACAACACCCCAATGTCAAGAACACCGCACTTTAATTGAAGCACTTGTCATCAAAAATACCCTTAAAACTGGAATTCACCCACATTGGGCTCACAGCGCTGCACAATTAGCAGATGCACTGACAAAACATATGGATAGCTACAGACTGTGAGAGTTTCTCAAACACTGACGGTGTTGTTTGCATGAGGTGGAAGAGATCCTCAAACAAAGAGCTGACCGCAAAGCACAGAAGAACTGGCTTTCCGAAGCTGTAATACCAAAGCCTTCCTCAGTGCTGCATGCAACCTGATGTAAATAGTGTTAATGGGGATAACATTGAATACTGATTACAGTAATTATATAAACTTTGAATAAAGAAACTTTCAGAGTGTGAATTCTGAAATGCCTAATCACCTTCCAGTGGGTCCAGTCAGTCGTGTGTCCAGCCTTTTTGATCATGCCTGCCAAAGGTATCATGACATCTCACGATGTTTGCTGTGGGCCTTCCCAGTCAAAGGCCCCAAGAGGGGGTTTGCGTGCACTCAACGTGCCAATAGGAGAAAACAGCTCGGGGCGAGCGCGGTTTGCCATTGGTGCGGCCTTTTCAATGAATATCTGGGTGACTTAGCAACAATCTATCCCGGTTCATCGGTGTGGCCATTCAAATCCTTTTGGTGGTTGCAGATCCCTACCATTGTCGGACACCAATCCACAGTATATACATATATACATATATACATATATACATATATACATATATACATATATACATATATACGTATATACGTATATACATATGTACATATATACATATTTACATGTATACATATAGTTACATATATATACATATATATATACATATAGATACATACATATATGCATATATATATATATTTATATATACATATTTATATAAATATATATATACATATATATATAGAGATACATACATATATACATATATACATATATACATATATACATATATATATACATATATACATATATACATATATACATATGTACATAGATACATACATACATACATACATACATACGTACGTATGTACGTACTTACATACATTACATACATTACATACATTACATACATTACATACATTACATACATTACATACATTACATACATTACATACATTACATACATTACATACATTACATACATTACATACATTACATACATACATACATTACTTTACATTACATTACATTACATTACATTTCATTACATTACATTACATACATACATATATAATTACACATATATACATGTATATATATACATATATAACATATATAACATATATAACATATATAACATATATAACATATAAAACATACATAACATATATAACATAATATAACATATAAAACATATATACATGATCTTTTACAAAGAAAGTGAGCAGGAAGCCAAGGCAAAGGCTGAACACCGCGAACGGATAAGCTTTCCCAAATTTGGTGGAAGAAAACCTGTGGCAATTCCAAATGCACATATTTGCAAATAAGGCCTTGCAAATAAGGCCTTGCAAATAAGGCCTTGCAAATAAGGCCTTGCAAACAAGGTTCACAATGGAGGAGCTCAAACATTGTGCTGCAACACGGCAGCTTTCGCCGATCTCGGAAGTATGTTTCCTTGGGAGAAGACCGAGAGGACGAGGAACATTTGTTGTGACGTTGAACTCCATCTCACTCATCAAGACCATTTGAGCTGAGGAACACAAACTAGCAAACTACTACAGTATTGAGAGATATTGAGAGCTTGGCTATGGTTTGACAAGCACTAGGGATAATGAAGCCACATATTGAAATATTATGATATATTCGTGCGGGCTGAGTCTGACATCAGTGACACCCGACAGCGCCACAAAAGCTGCTAGTCCAAATTCCCACTCCAACCTCCAAACGCTCATCGCTCTTCCTACTCCTAGGGTCCTAGATACCCTATCATACTCCAAGCACTGCTCCTCCTACAAGTACCACCATAGACCCCACTTGTGCGACTACCCTTGCAGCCCCCGGCCGCAACAAAGTCACCCGTGTGATGCTACAGCAAAAGCAATTGGGATCCATGTATGCCAAAAAAAGATTAGGGTTATTTCTTTCGATTTCTTCTCGCCTTGCTGATTGCCCTTTTGAAACTCTGACTCTCCTTCCGTCCGGGAATCTGAACGAATCCGCCAGTTGCCGCAATCACCTCGGTTGCGCATGGAAGTATTGGCAACGCATGAAGAATCCCTTTGAGGCGCAGCATGGCACAGCAATGACAGCGCATGACTTGCCGAGCTGCCCAGATTCCACGAGTTTGGCAAATGACCTCTGGGGCAGCTTTGCATTCGCGTCTTCAGGTTCATTCGTGGTGCCTTGCATCAGATCAGTGCAGAGGAGCAGTCAACTTGTCTTACAGTAGTTGAGCAGACTTTACCCATCCTGGGGTGATACTTCGGAGAAAATCGTTGTTCACACACAAAGTTGTTGATTGTTTCCTATTTGCAGACATGTTTATTTTGTCAGTCATGTGTAGAAAAATAATATAGAATAACGCTAAACGATTTTGATACCCATCACTGTGGGCACCTCACCACAAAACTCTGCTACAAAACCTGGTGTAGTTGCGTGTACCTCGTTCCTACAGATTTCTACAGCACACAAAGCAACGCATAGCAACACAATGCAATACGCAGCGCGTCATGACATTATGTACATATATGTACATAGCATGACACTATATTACGCTCAATTTGTCCCATCTAGTCCCAACTTCTCAGCGGAATGGCGCCTTGCTGCTTTTGGCCTTGCGACGGGCCGAGCTCTGTGAGCCATCGTCGGAGCCTTCACTCATGGAGAAGAAAGCGTCCTCAGCACCGGTTTTGCATGTTTTGAAAAGGCAAATGAATGGTAAAAAGAAGTACGAGTACGGTGCAACCCTGACGTTGCTCCGCACCGAAATTGCTGAAGAGTTGCGTATTTTTGAAATGCCGTGCCGGTGGACTTTCAATATGTAGATGTATATGTGATCATCATCATCATCATCGTCATCATCATCATCATTGTCGTCATCATCATCATCATCATCACCAAGATCTCACCATCATCATCATCATCATCACCATCATCATCATGATCATGATCATCGTCATCGTCATCGCCATCATCATCATCATCATCATCATCATCATCATCGTCATCATTGTCATTGTCGTCATCATCATCATCATCATTACTGTATCCCTTATGAAGATAAGTTGATGCTAGTATCAGAATCAGCATATTTGCCACCGGGGTGGAGGATGTTTTGATCCCTTATGAAGATATGTTGATGCTATTGTCAGATTCAGAATATTTGTCAAAGGGGGTGTTGTTCTTTGATCCCTTATGAAGATAAGTTGATGTTATTCCTTATTCCAATTTAAAAAGTCAGAGAGGGTGGTGGACTTGTTGCTCCCTTATGAAGATAAGTTGATGTGAATACACTATTTAACATATTTGTCGGAGGGGTGGAGGATGTTTTGATCCCTTATGAAGATAAGTTGATGTGATTACACCATTCAACATATTTGCCACAGAGGGTGGTGGATGTTTGATTCCTTATGAAGATATGTTGATGTGATTACACCATTCAACATATTTGCCAGAAAGGGTGGTGGATGTGTGATTCCTTATGAAGATAAGTTGATGTGATTGCACCATTCAACATATTTGTCATAGGGGGTAGCGGATTTATGATCCCTTATGAATCTAGGACATACAACTTCATGGTTTTACCCCAGACCACATGGGCTGACACTGGCGATAAAGATGTCATCATCATGATCATCACGATCATGATGATGATGATGATGATGGCGAGACCAGGGTGGTGATGGTGATGATGATGATGATGACGATGACGATGTCGATGATGATGATGATGATGATGATGATGGTGAGATCTTGGTGATGATGATGATGACGACAATGATGATGATGACGATGATGATGATGATGATGATGATGGTGATGACGATGACGATGATCATGATCATGATGATGATGATGATGGTGATGGTGATGATGATGGTGATGATGTTGATGAGGAGGAGGAGGAGGGCGACGACGACGATGATGTTTGTAAGTGTGGAGCAACGTCCGGTTTGGACGGAAGATGTACAAAGCATATTCATTGTGGTCATCGAATATCAGTGACTAAACATGACAAGACAAATTCTTAACGACGGTATTTGAAAGTGCTTGGTGAATATTTTAGTGATGACTTGAATCGCTGGAATTACACCCCAAATCCGTCCAATCTGCCTCTGCCCATGTCTCATTACAGTAGGTATATTCCAATTGAGGTACATCCTCGCCCTCTTCTGCGCCACATGGAGGCAGCCTTGGTTTGGTAATTAGAATATCTCGGAAACTACATTTTTGTTTAAAACAAAGGCAGCTGTGGATTGCCCGACTCATACAAAACTGTGATACTGAAAGGTTCGATGGTTGTATTCAAAGGCGCAAAAAGCATGGAACTGAATATTCCAGTCAAAGCTGAGACACTCTAGCCTGTCTGCATTCCTGGCAAGACTTGGATGGTCAAAGGAAGACAATCCCGACTGAGACTTCGCAGTGGTGGAGACACTAGGTCTCTGCGAGTTGTTTTTATATGTTTTTATTCCGGGGCATGTCACCCTAGCAGGCGCTAGTAAGACATAGGAAGACTTTACAGACTTTACAGTAAGACTGGTATTAAAAGGACTGTATTGAAGGAAGTCAGTGGCAGTCAGTGGGAGTCAGATCCTCAGCGGCCCTTCACCCCTTCAGCAGTCTTCAGCCGTGAAATTCGAGGTTGTTTGCTTCGGGAAAAAATGCATTGGCCTTGAGAGGCTTTTACGGCATCTGCCAAAACAAATCAATCTTTATGCATCTTCTAATTGGGAACTAAACCATGCGCTAGCCCCAAAACCACCTGAAATCAGGTTTGCTCATCCAGATACACCATGGTACATCCATGTACACCCTGTGTTTCTGCAGACTGCTTACGGATGGCTTGCGCTTTCACAGTTTTCACAGTATCTTTTGCCATGACCAGCCGGAGGAAAGCGCACCTGGCGGTTGGCTCCGAGTGGCTGGACACCTGGACAGTGCGTGAAGATCGAAGAGAAGCACATGTTAGAGATCTTTTGTAAAAATTTACAGCTATAATATGTATTAATATGTTATAATTAGTGTGTCTTACTCTAATATGTACCAATATGTACTGTAATCACATGTATTAACATGTTACAGTGTTGCAAACATTGATAGGGATGGTCAGAGATCCAGCGATAGCAAGTCTGTGCAGAGTCCCAACCACCTTCAAGACACAATTTAAGCAGTTTTTGTGAAGACATTTGCTCAAGGGCCAACAAGGGCCCAGGCTGTCTCGGTGTCAGAGTGTGACTGTGAATGGCCCTGTGGAAGCGGTGGCGCCGGTCTCAACCTGAATCAAGAAGCAGTGCATGCTGGCGGGCCACCCGGGCCACCCGGGAATTCAATTGAAAGTAAATGCATGCATCAACGCTGTTTCATGCGTGAATGGTGTATCAAGTCAAAATATCATAATATAAAATATAATATATAATAAAAAATAAAATATATAATATAAAATAATATAATATAATATAATATGATACGATATGATATAATGCCATATAATACAATATAAAATAATATGGTATAATAAATATGATATGATATAATATAATAGGAATATAATTTAATATCATGTAATGTAAAATAATATAATATGATATGATATAATATGATAAGAATATAATATAATATCATGTAATGTAAAATAATATAATATGATATGATATAATGTAGTATAAAATAATATAATATGATACTATATGATATAATATGATACGATATGATATAATACCATACAATATAATATAATATAATATATAATATAATACAATATAATATAATATAATATGGCATAATAAATATGATATGATATAATATAATAAGAATATAATAGAATGTAATGTAAAATAACATAATATAATAATATATTATATAAAATAATATAATAAAATACAATATAATATAATATGATATAATAATAAAATATAATATAATTTAATATAATATAATATGATATAATATGATGTAATATAACATACACTTATACGCTTTTCAGGCCTGTTAGATATCATGGATGCGACCCCAGCATCTTGCATTTGGAAGCTGGTAAAGCAAATGCGCTAGCAACGTTGCAAATAGCATTGTTCCTGCATTCATGGCCTGCTCCAATGTAACACAGTTGCTAAGTTGCACATTATTGATCATCATTGCACAAGTGAATCATTGATTCTACAATTTCGCTTTGAACTTTGCTTGGGTGTCCCCGCTGCAAATGCGCCAAGAAGTGCGGATCTACCAACAGCCTCTTCACATCCTCTCGCTCGAGGACCTGTTGATATCAGGCTGGCCGAGTCAAAGAACCACCGGCGATTGTCCGTTTGGTCTGGATTACAATGAATCATGCGTTCTTTTTGTTGCCACTTTCTCCAGTCAATTTTAAAACATATTCATCCTCTGCTACGAATGCCGCCACTAGTTGCAGTACAAGCTTAGGACTTGTGCACCAAAGCACCTGCGAACGTATTTCATGCAGAGGCAAATGATACAATGAGAAATACTAGCGTGCAGGCGCGTTTTTGTTTGTTTGTTTGTTTGCTTGCTTGCTTGTTTGCGTGTTTGTTTGTTTGTTTGTTGCTTGCTTGTTTGTTTTATATATATATATATATTTGTTTGTTCGTTTGTTCGTTTGCTTGCTTGCTCATGTGTATGGGTCTCTGTGTGTCTTTGTTTGTGTCTGTGCGTGTGTTTGTGCTGTTTCGGGATGGGCAGAATATAGAAAATACAGTATTTTAACAAATGACACATCTAGGGACCTAGAGACTATAGTATAGGAGTTTGTGAAACAACTGCTTTGTTCACTGACAATACTGTGTGTGTGAATCACATAGAGGAAGAACTTCAGCATTCCAAAAGGGATAGACTTCCCTTTCTGCACTATTCTGCGGCCAGAAGTCACTGGAATGGAGACTCTAATGCGTCTAACTTTCCAAAGAACTGGAGACCCTTCCCTCAAGATCTGGACTAATTCGCAGATTTCACACCTGGCAAATGGCGCTCACAATCAGCTGCAGTCGTCTCCGGCGATGTACCCTTTGATCGTTGAAGGTTGCTTGCCTCAGATCTCCAAGATGTCCAGTGAGCAGTGGCATGAGCAGTGGCATCAGCAGCACAGCTGGGTTCATGAAACTCACTTTGTGAGGGACTTGGAGCTGCAAGTTGCTACCACGAATCACTGAGTGAAAACTCTAGATAGGAGGATTCTCACAGGTGCAAGACCAGCCTCGTTTCCAAGTAAGCAACTCAATCCACTCTGGTCGAGCCGAGTCAAGCTGAGTCAAGCTGTGTCAAGCTGTGCCAAGCGGCAATTTGTTGGAAGCGGAGGTTACCTTCAGGAGTTGTGCATGTGCAGTTGGACTGAGCCGATCCAGGCTGCTGATTGTCTCCTTGGGAAGGCAGCCGGATTTATGAATGAGAAGGCTGACAAAACCAAGGCGCAGAGACTTCTGAGACTTCTATGTCCAGAAAATGATTGCTCTGTCTTTCATGGATTTGCGGTATGCATATGTAAATATGTACATATGTATATATGTATAGGTGTATAGATGTATAGATGTGTGTATATATATACATATGATATGTCTATATGTAAATTAAAAAATGAATATGCATGTATGTATGTATGTATGTATGTATGTATGTATATGTTTATAAATATAAAAGTGTGTCTATATA